AGCAACAGCTCAAGACATCAGTCAGGAAGTTAAAGCTTGGTCGCAAATGGGTCTTCCAAATGGACAATGACGCCAAGCATACTTCCAAAGTTGTGGCAAAATGGCTTAAGGACAACAAAGTCAAGGTATTGGAGTGGCCATCACAAAGCCCTGACCTCAATCCTATAGAAAATGTGTGGGCAGAACTGAAAAAGCATGTGCGAGCAAGGAGGCCTACAAACCTGACTCAGTTACACCAGCTCTGTCAGGAGGAATGGGCCAAAATTCACCCAACTTATTGTGGGAAGCTTGTGGAAGGCTACCCGAAACGTTTGACCCAAGTTAAACAATTGAAAGGCAATGCTACCAAATACTAATTGAGTGTATGTAAACTTCTGACCCACTGGGAATGTGATGAAAGAAATAAAAGCTGAAATAAATAATTCTCTCTACTATTATTCTGACATTTCACATTCTTAAAATAAAGTGGTGATCCTAACTGACCTAAGACAGGGAAATTTTACTAGGATTAAATGTCAGGAATTGTGAAAAACTGAGTTTAAATGTATTTGGCTAAGATGTATGTAAACTTCCGACTTCAACTGTATCTGTAAACCTCCCCCAGCCCATTGACTTTGATCGATCATTCTTGTCAATAGTAGCAGGGGATTTTTGTAGACGTGTCTTTGTATTGTGTTTTGAGAATCTGCAGAGAGAAGAATGAGGTGGTTGTGTCATTACTGTTGTCTTGATTTTATACCTCAGTGTCCCTTGCTCGTTTTTGTCCCACAAACTTGTGGTGCTCCATAACCACAAGGTGTGTCTCCTCCCTCATGCTGCCACTTTGGGGTATTTTTCAGCAGGGCCTATGGAAGGACTCCAGATAACCTGAGTTTTACAAAGAGAGAAGGTAAGAAGAGAATAGGGGTAGACTAAATTGATTACATGGTCTGGTTTATAGGTTTGTCCGGCCGACCGGTCAGGTAGGTAGGTCCGGCCAGCCAGACGGCCAGATCTAATTTACCTAGCTCTCTGGCTGGCCGGCCAGCAGGACCTAGTAGCCTGGCCGGCCGTCCAAATCTAGCTGTCTGGCAGGCCGGAACTAGCTCTCTGGCTGGCCTGTCTGGCTGGCCTGCCTATCTGGCTGGCCGGACCATCATGTCTGGCTGGACGGCCGGACCTTCCTGTCTTGCTGTCTGGCCGGCCGTCCGGACCTAGTTATCTGGCCGGCCAGACAGCTAGGTCCGGCTTGCCGGGTGGCAAGATAGTTAGGTCCGACCGACCAGACAGCTAGGTTCGGCCGGCCAGACAGCTAGCTAGGCTGACAACCCTTTAACTTTTTCCACATTGTGTTACGTTACAGACTTATTCTAAGATGGATTAAATTGTTTTTTTCCTCATTGATCTACACACAACACCCCATAATGACAAAGCAAAAACACTGAAATATCAAATTGACATAAGTATTCAGACCCTTCACTCAGTACTTTGTTAAAGCACCTTTGGCAGTGGTTACAGACTCTAGTCTTCTTGGGTATGACGCTACAAGCTTGGCACACCTGTATTGTGGGAGTTTCTCCCATTCTTCTCTGCAGATCCTCTCAAGCTCCATCAGGTTGGATGGGGAGCGTCGCTGCACAGCTATTTTCAGGTCTCTCCAGAGATGTTCGATCGGGTTCAAGTCCAGGCTCTGGCTGGGCCACTCAAGGACATTCAGAGACTTGTCCCAAAGCCACTCCTGTGTTGCTTTGGCTGTATGCTTAGGGTTGTTGTCCTGTTGGAAGGTGAACCTTCACCCCAGTCTGAGGTCCTAAGCGCTCTGGAGCAGGTTTTCATCAAGGATCTCTCTGTACTTTTCTCCGTTCATCTTTCCCTCGATCCTGACTAGTCTCCCAGTCCCTGCCGCTGAAGAACATCCCCACAGCATGATGCTGCCACCACCATGCTTCAACTTAGGGATGGTGCCAGGTTTCCTCCGGATGTGACGCTTGGCATTCAGGCCAAAGAGTTCAATCTTGGTTTCATCAGACCAGAGAATCTTGTGTTTGCCAAAAGTCTTTAGGTGCCTTCTGGCAAACTCCAAGCAGGCTGTCATGTGCCTTTTACTGAGGTGCGGCCAGATAGCTAGGTCCGGCCAGCCAGATAGCTAGGTGCGGCAGGCCAAACAGATAGGTTCGCCCCCTGTGTGGCCAGACAGCTAGGTCCGCCCAGTGCGGCCAGATAGCTAGGTCGGCCAGAGAGCTAGGTGCGGCCGGCCAGACAGCTAGGTCTGCCCGGTATGGCCATACAGATAGGTCCGGCCGGCCAGACACATAGGTGGACCCGGCCGACCGGCCAGATAGCTCGGTCCAGCCAGCCGGACAGCTAGGTCCCTCCGGCTGCACCTAGCTAGCTGGCCGGCCGGCCGGCCAGATGGCTAGGTGCGGCAGGCCAGACAGCTAGGTCTGCCCGGTGAGGCCAGATAGTTAGGTCCGACCGGCCAGATAGGTCGGTTCGGCCTCATGGCCAGACAGATAGGTCCGGTCGGCCAGATAGATAGGTGGGCCCGGTCGGCCAGACAACTAGGTCCGGCCGGCCAGACAGATCCTGTAGGTGGGCCCGGCCGATCAGATAGCTGGGCCCGGCCAGCCAGATGGCTCGGTCCGGCCAGTGAGACAGCTAGGTCCTGCCGGCCAGCCAGACAGCTAGTTCTTGCTTGCCGGCCGGACAGCTAGTTCGTGCCTGCCGGCCGGCCAGACAGCTCGGTCCAGCCAGCCAGACAGCTAGGTCCGGCCGGCCAGCCAGACAGCTAGTTCTTGCTTGCCGGCCGGACAGCTAGTTCCTGCCTGCCGGACGGCCAGACAGCTAGTTCCTGCCGGACAGACAGCTAGGTTTATCCGGCCGGCTAGATAGCTAGGTCCCGCCGGCCAAATAGTTAAGGCCGGCCAGCCAGATAGCTAGGTCCGGCCAGCCAGATAGCTAGGTGCGGTCTGTCAGCCGGCCAGATAGCTAGATCTGGCCAGACAGCTAGGTTGCAACGGAGGACAGACGGTTTTTACGCACTGCCCACTTCAGCACTCGGCTGTCCCGTTCTGTGAGCTTGTGTGGCCTACCACTTCGCACTTCGCGGCTGAACCTCCCGAGTGGCGCAGTGGTCTAAGGCACTGCATCGCAGTGCTAGCTGTGCCACTAGAGATCCTGGTTCGAATCCAGGCTCTGTCGTAGCCGGCCGCGACCGGGAGACCCATGGGGCGGCACACAATTGGCCCAGCGTCGTCCAGGGTAGGGGAGGGAATGGCCGGCAGGGATGTAGCTCAGTTGGTAGAGCATGGCGTTTGCAACGCCAGGGTTGTGGGTTCGATTCCCACGGGGGGCCAGTATGAAAAAATGAAAAATTAATAATGTATGCACTCACTAACTGTAAGTCGCTCTGGATAAGAGCGTCTGCTAAATGACTAAAATGTAAAAATGTAAAATGTTTCCACTTCACAATAACAGCACTTACAGTTGACCGGGGCAGCTCTAGCAGGGCAGAAATTTGACGAGTACTTCAGTAAGGCCATTCTATTGCCAATGTCTGTCTATGGAAATTGCATGGCTGTGTGCTCGATTTTATACACTTGTCAGCAACGAGTGTGTCTGAACTAGCTGAATCCACTCATTTGAAGGGGTGTCCACATACTTTTGTTTATGTAGAGTATCTGTACTTTACTATTTATATATATTTTTTACTTTTACTCCACGACATTCCTGAAGAAAATAATGTCGTTTTTACTCCATACATTTTCCCTGACACCCAAAAGTTACATTTTGAGTACTTAGCAGGACAGGAAAATGGACCAATTATCAAGAGAACATCCCTGATCATCCCTACTGTCTCTGATCTGGGCGGACTCACTAAACACAAATGCTTAGTTTCTAAATGATGTCTGAGTGCTGGAGTGTGCCCCTGGCTATCGGTAAATTAAAAAAAACTAGATAATCGTGCCATCTGGTTTGCTTAATATAAGGAATTTTTGCTACTTAAGTATATTTTTAACTATTACATTTACTTCTGATACTTAAGAATATTTAAAACCAAATACTTTCAGACTTTTACTCAAGTAGTATTTTACTTGGTGACTTTCACTTTTACTTGAGTCACTATTAAGTTATATTTACTTTTACTCAAGTATGACAATTGGGTACTTTTTCCACCACTGACAGATGCCAACCACACTCACCAGTAGTCTACACACATCACAGTAAAGTACTGACTGCAACTCACGTTTTCTTGTGTGGTTACTTTGCCTAACGGTTGAGTGTTGCTTTAACTGTCCTTCCCTCAGACCAGCAGCATTTTAAGACAACCATACAAACAGAAAGTGAGACATCACCTTCCATCCTGTCCCCGACCTCCAACCTTCAGCAGTCGAGAGCAGGTAAGACGACATACCTTAAAGACCCTACAACTAACTCTATGGGACTGTTTCCTGGCCTCAGATGTGTAGTGCTCTGTCATTTTTTAGAGAGTATTAGTCTCCATCTCTGTTGTTCAAAGTCAGAAGGGATAAGGATGTGCCTGTTCATTTATTTTGAGTCTTTGTTTCTCTGTAGTTGAGGGTGTACAAGGCCATGCCCTACAGCATTCTGCTCCCCATCACCCAGCCCCCCATCCCAGAGCTTCTGAAGGACCATCAGCACAGGTCACATGAGGTCACAGACACTGCCACCAAGCAGAAGAGGAGCAGTAAGCGCTGGCCCCACTCACACACACGCTACATGGCTGCTCCTCCACAACCAGCAACTCCCAGGTACTAATGTCACCCTCGCTGAATACACTATCCTCAGAAATAAAAGTCTGGCAGGAACTATTTAACATGTTTGGTGTAGTTGTTTTAGATAGATCAGATCTAGAATGTATATCTTATTTGATCAAATAGTGAAGAGCAAAAAAAATGTTTTATTGCAAGTTTAGAGGATATTAACAGCTGGTCAAAGGAAAAGTTTCTTCAAATGTGGACAGTGAGGGAAAATGCAATATGTACAAGTCACATGTGTGTCTAAGAGTTCTCCCAGGGTTTAGGCCTCCTCTCCATCTGCGAGGGAGTTGGAGTTTGGTTATTAGGTTTTATGTCCAGCTTTGACAGGCCTGGGACCTCCTCTCCTGCTTGGACTAGCCGGATCACTTCCTCAAATGATAGGGGTGCATCTGTGTTCGCTGACGTCCCACCAGTGGTACTTTCACAAACACCAGAATTTGAATCTGCAATAGTCAAGTGGTTGAACTTCTCCAACTGTTCAACGTTGTCACCCGTGGAGGATGTCGAGGACAGGGCAGTAGAACTTACACGCCATTGTTTATACCCATCCAAGTCAATGGGCTCGACAAACCTGGCAAGGATAAATACAATGAAGAATGTGAAAAACAAACAAATAGTCACAATCTGTAAGATGTATAGCCATGGTCATTTCAATACCCTTTGGTTTTCGGGGGGAAAAAATGGCTTACAGAGGAGAGTACAGCTGTTGTACTTGTCAACCCAAAAACTAAGGACCTCCTATTGGGAGACTTGTAAACAAATGATCCTCTTGAAAATAAAAAGTAAATTTGTTCTAATTAAATATATCATCCCACTACAGGGTTCGTACAGACAGTGGCAAGCCAAATTCAATGACTTTCAAGTACTTTTCAAGCGCTAATATTTATTTTCAAGGACCATCAATTTGTAATAGTTCCTATATGCAATTGTTTCTAGTCGCCACCAGATGGCAGTATATCGCCACAACCTAAAAAAAAACACGAACTTACTATTCATCACTACCTTACAAGTTCTACTTAATAATACGTTTCACTACTTATTTACTACATACATGAGTGGTAAGTCAGTACTGATGATGTTGACTGATTTCCTTATATGAACTGTAACTCAGTAAAATCTTTGAAAATTGTTGCGTTTATATTTTTGTACATAATATTAGATTCTCTTTGTGTTTAAATTGTCTTTATGTTTCACTAAAGTTGAGCTCCCACAGGCTGTCCCAACACACAAGGCCCTTAGTTGAATCTAAAATGTTGTATTCTATACCCATTTGAAGAGAAACAAGTTATTAATGTGTTTGATAAGATTTAAGATTCTCTCTGGGGACACTATTTACATTTTAGGGGACACACATGGGTCCTGGACCCCAAATTTGAGAACCACTGTACTACTAACCTTTCTCCCTACTTGCTTCAATGCTTCCTCTCGCTGTGTATCTCCTTTGCCTCCTTCATTGTAGCCTGACTCACCACGGCGTTTACCCTCTACTACATCCCTGGTTGGGTCTGGCAAAACCATTAATAAACATCAATATTCTGCAGGCTGGATTGAATTTACATTTGCCCGGCATATTAGCTATCGATGTGACGTTTGGCGGCGCCTAATCAGTCAGTTCTGTACATACCTGGCTGAGTGGCAGTGTGGGTGCCCCACTATCTCAATTGTTTACATTTTTGTTGTTGAGCCCACTATTTAATAATAAACAAATAAAGTACTATTTATTCCCCATTTAGTGATCATGTATATGCTTGGTAAAATAAGATGTCAGCAGCAGCACGTACCGATTGTAAAAGAATAATTTAATCCCCAAAACAGTTTCCTCGCTGGAAGCCTGAAGACTCTTCAAACCACTCTGGAAATTCGGATCCACCTCGAAGTCATATGAATCGAACCGACTGTAAGCAGAATCCATTTCACGCGTAGAATGTTATTGCCTTTCATGAAGCTGATACATGTATTGAAATCTGCAAATATATACTTTCATCTACTACACTGTATGTATTTGTTCGATGTTTTCTTGTCCAAGTGAAAGGAAATACTTCTTCGGAGGGGGTTTATCGGCAGTTGGCATCCAACGTTATGGTGCATTACCGCCACCTACTTACTGGAGTGTGGGGCAGCGACCGGGAGAAACTAAATCCAACCTGCCAGACACGTTTCTAAAAAAGATAATGCAATATTTTAGACAGTAAGTCTAATGACGTTCTACTTAGTATACTCTTTAAACTCATTTCTGGTATCCCCTTCTCCCTCATATTGGATCTCAGCCTTTCTCTTTCCCTCTCATACTGCCCACAAAGTATCAGTACATGCTCCACTGTCTTCCTGGTGTTAAGTTGCATCAATTCAAATCTGGTATTAGGAACAAAAGAGGTCAATACACGTCTTCTAAATAGACTAGTATTTTAATTAATGCAAAACCTTCAATGGTAAATATGATGTTCGTATATACGGGCTCCCTGAAATACCTCGCAGGGCATTCAGAGAACTAATCCATTGTTTCAGATTGTTCTTCAAATACTCTTGACAGTTCTCAGTTCCCGCTCTCTGCTGGCCAATCAGAGTAGAGACTGAGCGTGGTTTAGACTTACTCAGCCAATCCGTTGGCGCACCCCTGTTGCCAGGCATAAGTTCTTATCATAACAACCTGTCATGGTGAGAAGAGCCAGCTCCCCTAGACACCATTCCTACGTCCAAGGATGGTTCACAGATCACAAAGGACCAGTATAGTCTAGTATTTGGAGACACACATTATTATCTTATCTTACCCCCTAAAACAGCTCTTCACATCAATCACAGCTTGCCAGGTGACACAACCCACATCAGCACAGTCCAGACCCTCCATGCCTTAATCATTAATACATTCCTTCCAAGCTAGTCATCCCATCAATTATGAGAATAATAAATTCCCACACTGGCAATAATCACACTTCCTGTTGGATGCTTTCCTATCACATTTAAAGTCTTATTCAACCGACTGTGTCCCATCCTTAGTCTTGTAAAGGTGGCCTCTCTTCTGTCTCTTCCTGCCGTTCTCCCCTCCCCGACCTTCCTCTGTACTTGGAATAGATTCCTGCCCTTAGTGTCTCTGTTCCACTGCTCCTGCCATCTCTGCACCATCACTGTCCATATCAGACTTTTTGCCTCTGCCTTGCGCATTGAAACTACAACATCAACATCCCCACTACAAAGTGCTTGTTTAGTCAGTACATCAGCTGCCTCATTCCCCTCCACCCCCACATGGGCTGGGACCCAAGTAAATCTTGTCTGTATACCACAGCAGGTTGGTGGTACCTTAATTGGGGAGGACAGGCTTGTGCTAATGGCTTGAGTGGAATCAGTGGAATGGTATCAAATACATGGTTTCCATGTGTTTGATGCCATTCCATTTGCTCCGTTCCAGCCATTATTATGAGCTGTCCTCCCCTCAGCAGCCTCCACTGCTGTATACCCAACTGTCTAATCCTGCCATGGGTTTGTAGTATGTCATAAAGCAGGTCTTGTCTGCTACGCAAGCTAAAGGACTGCAGACTCATTAACACTGCACATGAATCAGAGCAAATAACTACTCTGTCTGGCTTGACTTCCTCTACCCACTGCAAGGCCAACAGTATCTCCAAAAGGAAAGATGAAGAAGAGTGCGAGGGTAGAACCAACAGGAAAAATGCATAGATTGCTCCCCCAGTGGACAATTTAAGTATTGTTGTTGATTTGCTATCTTCTCGTTTTGCCAATACTGTCATAGGTTCCACTACTCATGGAAGATAAAATGCTTTTTGAGCTTTTGAGAATGGGGAAAAGTTAATAGTAAGCAGAAATGTAACACTATGGTGTGGTTGAGTGACACTGCCCCTGAAAAAAAGCCAGCTGCTAGCCACACCTTGGAGTGGCACCTCATGGTCTTGGGTAACTGGGGGGGGGGGGGGGGGGGGGGGGGGGGCAGTTGATCTTTCTATGATGACGCTCTTGTTTACTGCACTATGCAATTGGATAAGCAGTCCCTTGGCAGATCTGGGAAAACCGTTGTTGACATCAGGAGGAGTGAAAGTCAGAGAGGATTGAAGAGAGGGAGAGAGGAACAGTAAGGGTTCCCTGACTACACAGTGACAGGACATCTGATCTCATGAACTGCTTAGTGTGGTTTCTCCTTTGTTTGTGTGCATGTGAAACACAATGAACAGCTGGCCATATACCCTATCCTCCTCACCCCTGCAGGTCTCAAAGTGAGCTGTCAACTTTGCTCTTATAACCTGCTCAGGCCACTGATCAGACGCAGGACCAGCAGGTTATGACTTTGTGGCACTGGTCAGATGAGCTCAACCAACCCAGAGTACTAACAGACAGCCACATGGCTACAGTACATACAGTACCAGTCAAAAGTTTGGACACCTACTCATTCCAGGGTTTTTCTTTATTTTTACTATTTTCTACATTGTAGAATAATAGTGAAGACATCAACACTATGAAATAACACATATGGAATCATGTAGTAACCAAAAAAGTGTTAAACAAATCAAAATATATTATATATCTGAGATTCTTCAAATAGCCACCCTTTGCCTTGATGACAGCTTTGCACACTCTTGGCATTCTCTCAACCAGCTTCACCTGGAATGCTTTTCCAACAGTCTTGAAGGAGTTTGCACATATGCTGAGCACTTGTTGGCTGCTTTTCCTTCACTCTGCGGTCCAACTCATCCCAAACCATCTCAATTGGGTTGAGGTCGGGGGGTTGTGGAGGCCAGGTCATCTAATGCAGCACTCCATCACTCTCCTTCTTGGTCAAATAGCCCTTACACAGCCTGGAGGTGTGTTGGGTCATTGTCCTGTTGAAAAACAAATGATTGTCCCACTAAGCCCAAACCAGATGGGTTGGCGTATCGCTGCAGAATGCTGTGGTAGCCATGCTGGTTAAGTGTGCCTTGAATTCTAAATAAATCCCAGACAGTGTCACCAGCAAAGCACCCCCACACCATCACACCTCTTCCTCCATGCTTCACGGTGGGAACTACACATGCAGAGATCATCCGTTCACCTACACTGTGTCTTACAAAGACACAGCGGTTGGAACCAAAAATCTTCCATTTGGACTCCAGACCAAAGGACAGATTTCCACCGGGCTTATGTCCATTGCTTGTCTTTCTTGGCCCAAGCAAGTCTCTTCTTCTTATTGGTGTCCTTTAGTAGTGGTTTCTTTGCAGCAATTTGACCATGAAGGCCTGATTCACGCAGTCTCTTCTGAACAGTTGATGTTGAGATGTGTCTGTTACTTGAAGTCTGTGAAGCATTTATTTGGGCTGCAATTTCTGAGGCTGGTAACTCTAATGAACTTATCCTCTGCAGCAGAGGTAACTTTGGGTCTTCTTTTCCTGTGGTGGTCCTCATGAGAGCCAGTTTCATCATAACGCTTGATGGTTTTTTGCGACTGCACTTGAAGAAACTTTAAAAGTTCTTGACATTTTCCGGATTGACTGACCTTCATGTCTTAAAGTAATGATGGACTGTCATTTCTCTTTGATTATTTGAGCTGTTCTTGCCATAATATGGACTTGGTCTTTTACCAAATAGGGCTATCTTCTGTATACGTTATTTCATAGTTTTTTTATGTCTTCACTATTATTCTACAATGTAGAAAATAGTACAAATAAAGAAAAACCCTGGAATGAGTAGGTGTGTCCAAACATTTGACAGGTGTTGTATATGTACAGTACAAGTATGGACAACATTAATTAAGGTACAGAATTGCATAGTATAGTAGTTTATTCATTCCGACAATATTCTTACAGACGTACAAAATATTATTTAGTTCTATAAGATAATACAAAATCAATGAGTACTGACAATTGTAAGTGCCTTGGTGTATCCAAAAAGGCAGATAATAGGCATATGTATCTGAAATAACTGTACCCCCTATCATAATGGGTTCTAAAGTACTTCCCTCTATTCATTCATCCTAATGACTGAAAGCAGAATTCCAGAACATAGGCCTTGGATTCTCTATGTCCCTTGTAATCTTTATCAGCTGTCCAGTGGTGTCAATACAGTGAGGGAAAAAAGTATTTGATCCCCTGCTGATTTTGTACGTTTGCCCACTGACAAAGACATGATCAGTCTATAATTTTAATTGTAGGTTTATTTGAACAGTGAGAGACAGAATAACAACAAAAAAATCCAGAAAAACGCATGTCAAAAATGTTATAAATTGATTTGCATTTTAATGAGGGAAATAAGTATTTGACCCCTCTGCAAAACATGACTTAGTACTTGATGGCAAAACCCTTGTTGGCAATCACAGATGTCAGACGTTTCTTGTAGTTGGCCACCAGGTTTGCACACATCTCAGGAGAGATTTTGTTCCACTCCTCTTTGCAGATCTTCTCCAAGTCATTAAGGTTTCGAGGCTGACGTTTGGCAACTCGAACCTTCAGCTCCCTCCACAGATTTTCTATGGGAATAAGGTCTGGAGACTGGCTAGGCCACTCCAGGACCTTAATGTGCTTCTTCTTAAGCCACTCCTTTGTTGCCTTGGCCGTGTGTTTTGGGTCATTGTCATGCTGGAATACCCATCCACGATCCATTTTCAATGCCCTGGCTGAGGGAAGGAGGTTCTCACCCAAGATATGACGGTACATGGCCCCGTCCATCGTCCCTTTGATGCGGTGAAGTTGTCCTATCCCCTTAGCAGAAAAACACCCCCAAAGCATAATGTTTCCACCTCCATGTTTTACGGTTGGGATGGTGTTCTTGGGGTCATAGGCAACATTCCTCCTCCTCCAAACACGGCGAGTTGAGTTGATGGCAAAGAGCTCGATTTTGGTCTCATCTGACCACAACACTTTCACCCAGTTCTCCTCTGAATCATTCAGATGTTCATTGGCAAACTTCAGACGGCCCTGAATATGTGCTTTCTTGAGCAGGGGGACCTTGCGGGCGCTGCAGGATTTCAGTCCTTCACGGCGTAGTGTGTTACCAATTGTTTTCTTGGTGACTATGGTCCCAGCTGCCTTGAGATCATTGACAAGATCCTCCCGTGTAGTTCTGGGCTGATTCCTCACCGTTCTCATGATTATTGCAACTCCACGAGGTGAGATCTTGCATGGAGCCCCAGGCCGAGGGAGATTGACAGTTCTTTTGTGTTTCTTCCATTTGCGAATAATCGCACCAACTGTTGTCACCTTCTCACCAAGCTGCTTGGCGATGGTCTTGTAGCCCATTCCAGCCTTGTGTAGGTCTACAATCTTGTCACTGACATCCTTGGAGAGCTCTTTGGTCTTGGCCATGGTGGAGAGTTTGGAATCTGATTGATTGATTGCTTCTGTGTACAGATGTCTTTTATACAGGTAACAAACTGAGATTAGGAGCATTCCCTTTAATAGTGTGCTCCTAATCTCAGCTCGTTACCTGTAGAAAAGACACTTGGGAGCCAGAAATCTTTCTGATTGAGAGGGGGTCAAATACTTCTTTCCCTTATTAAAATGCAAATAAATTTATAAAATTTTTGACATGCGTTCTTCTGGATTTTTTTGTTATTCTGTCTCACACTGTTCAAATAAATCTACCATTAAAATTATAGACTGATCATTTCTTTGTCAGTGGGCAAACGTACAAAATCAGCATGGGATCAAATACTTTTTTCCCTCACTGTATGTTACTGCTCCACCCCCTTACTCACAGTTGGAGTTGGGCTCTCCTGACCCACCACCGTTTACAGCGGAGGAGTATCTGTGTCGCTGTAGCTTGGTCGGGGTCAAGGCGTTTCGTTGGGTGGAGGAGCGAGATGATCGGGCGAAGCAGAAGGACAAGGACTTGGAACTGCTACAGTCATAGTTCCCATCCTGAGAGAGAGATGGAGGGAGATAGGGAGGGGGGGGGGGGGGGGGGGGGGGGGGGGGGACAGAGGAATAACATACATTAGCCAGTAAGTTGAATATGAGTGTGAGGCTCAGTACAGTGAGTACAGTATGTGTTTAGTTTGGGGACCCTTTCTCAAAACCAAGCAAGCTAACTAGTATGTGTGGACAGACATGAGCCACTAGCCAGTAAGTTGAATATAAGTGAGGTGCAGTATGTGTTCAGTGTGTGGATCCTGTGTTGGGTAGGCCTACAGTACTCACCTCCAGTGTCACGTTACTTTCCAGGCTTAGGTCTCTTCTGAGAGCCTGGTTCTGACTGTTGGCCTGACTGGGGCAGTTATCCTCCTTCTGGCCCCTGCACGCTTCCTCTCTCTGCTTCATGAACCTCTGGTTCACAATCCTGGTAACACTGTCATTCCTGTATACTGGTGCAGCAGGGGGGCGAGAGGGCACTCGCTCTGTTTTTTTTTTAGTTGGACTGCTTTTCCCCTTCTGCCCCCCGCCTGGTGCTGTCGCTGGTGCTGGCTTGTCTGCTCGACCACTAATTTTGCGCAGGAACTCTGTGACTAGGCCGTACCGGTCGGCACCACCAGGTTTTCTGGTGGGTTTAGTGTTGTTCCCTCTGCTCAATTCACTGTTTATTGTGCTATGGTGAATAAGCCTTGGACCAGCTCTGGGATTGATGGGGCGGGCCCAGGTCGGCCCAGCAGGACCCCGATGGGACAGGCTCCACAAAACACCCTCCCTGCCAGGGGTGGCAGAGGAGGCAGTGGAGGAGTTGGAGGTGGTGAAACCAGTTGGGGAGATGGAAGATGAAGATGAAGCAGAGGCAGAGTGTCTGCGGTACATTTTTGGGGAGGTGGAGCCTGACTTGGGCCTCTCGGTCCTCCCTGGGAGCCTCTCAAGGGAAGAAGAGATCTGTTGAGTGCGGGCAGAGAGGTGTAAAGGGTTGCCTCTCACTGCACTTACACTGTAGGGCCCATCCGTCTGTAGACCCACACTCACCATCTGTGGGTGCATCTGGGTCTGAGTCCCTGAGGTGGCCACGTCCACCGTCCACCCCCCACTCACGATCATCCTCCCCTTCCTCCTCTCCGGCGAACTGGAGTGAACTGCCTGTCGTAAGCTAGCTGTCATCTCCTTCATGTCGTCGCTCAAGTTAGCGGAGAGCCTCAGACATAAGGGAGTGAGAGAGCTTTGGGACGTACTAAGCCTGGCAGAGATTACACTGGTAGTAGAATTTCTATCAGTGTTGGTAATGTGCCTCAGATGAGCCAGATGGATTCTCCGTGCAGACGGGGGACTGTAGTAGATGCGGAGGACAGTCTTCTCTGGGGCAGTGCGGCTACTGTCCAGGGACAACTGGTCCAAGTCCAGATTAGGGAAGCTAGGGGGCATGATGGGGTGGTCCCAGGTCTTAAAGGGGTCCTCTCGGTCCAGCTGGGCAGCCTCTTGGCTGAGGTAACACCAGTTCTTCTTCTTGGACCATAATGTAGAGCGGTCTGGTCTGGTCTTATTTCTTGTCTGTGGGGAAATAAGTATTTTCATATTATGGTGGAAAGAGCACAGAAACCCAGGGAAAACAGCCATGTAAAGAAATAAATCTGCTCTTCCCAATTCAAAGGCACACTGGGCCTAGCAACACCACGGGCTAGTAGCTAGCTAGTCGTCTCGTATTTCTGTCTGTCTCCTGGCAACAGCTGAAATATTTGCAATTGGTATTTTTGATTTAAATTGCTATTGTGTTTGCCTGGAAAATAATATTCTATACATTAAAATGTAATCATGGCAACCACAAACCTGTTTTAAGTTATCGTTCAACATGTGGAGGAAAACCACTTCCCTGTTTTGAAACAACAGGATGTGATGAATAGATGTAGATGGACTATAAACAAAGTTAATGTTTTACACTTGAAATGTAGCCTACTCATTGTTTTTGGACAATGACACATAGACCACAAGCCAGTGAGTCATGAGTTCAGTGTGTTTTCTTTTCTACCCACACAAACCAACACTTTCTTCCAACTTTCTCTCCCTCTCTCTCTCCCCTTTCTCTCTCTCTGGCTCTTTCTTTTTCTCTTTTTCTCTTCATTGCTCACTTTCTCCCTCTCACATATTCCCTCTCTGGGTCTGTCTGAGTGTTGTAATGCAGTGGACGCACATGCTAGTCCTGCTTTTGGCAGTAGCCCCAACAAGAGTTTAGCCTAAATACTGTGGAACGGTTGATCTCATGATGTCTGTACTGTGTGCAGGCAGGCTAGGAGGAAGCCCTGCCAAATAGAATACATCAGCTGGGCTTACTGCTGAAACACATCCAATCACATGCTCCAAACACATCACAACACAGGACAGATAAACATGGGCGCCTGGTGGCTGGAGGAAACAGAAAAGAGGGGAAAGAGAGAAAATAAAATACTTCCTACCTCAGTTATCTCACTCTGTGTGCCTCTAGGGTGGCCTGGCTGGTCTGGATACCCCTGCGCCTCAGTCTTACCAGTGCTGCACTCCATCTGAGTTATTAAAATAAAGAGTGAGGTATTACAGTTTGTGATGATTTCTCAGAATCAGGATATATGTCTGATCCACTTGCCATAGAACATAACAGTGATGTATCTCTCATTGTAAGGGATGATGCTCTTAAGTATCAACTTATGTAATTGGACAGTGACTTCATAGGCTGAGCCCACAGCGGGACAGGGGCATTAGCTCACCCTGGAAATTAAGCCGTTCCAGTCTGATGCCCATGTGGCCTTGGCATCCTGTCCTGCCATGCTGTCCTCTGAGTCCTGCAGCTCTGTGCCCAAATACTGCAGCAGCACGTGTAGCATAGACATAGTCGTAAGATCTCTGCTCTTAAAAAAAAAAAAAAAAAGGACAACATACTTTCAATCTTGTCTTTCATGGTTACCTACTGAAAGAAAGTGATTTATGAACATTTCTGTTACAGTATGTTGCAATTCATGTTCCCCTACATTCCCTTTCCCTCATACCTCCTTGCCCTCCAGGCCAGATCTCTTCCTCACACCGCGCTGGTGGAGGACCCAGAGCACCTTCAAGGTGAGCTGCATCATGGGGTCCCTACAGCTGTCGAGGTGGTCTGACTGTGTTGCTCGTTTTACGCTCTCCTTCACCACTACTGTGCGCAGGCCTTCATCCGTTTCCTTCTTGGCTGAGACCTCTGTGTTGTTCTGTGTGTCCTGATCAGCCAGGGATGGGATGTCGGTGGGATCCCAATTTCCTTCAACCCTCAACTCTCCTCCTTGTGTCACCAATGTCTCCACCCTCCCCATTAAGGCCAACAGCATGGCCTGCAGAAGCTCCAGAGCCTCATACAGGTGGCCTTGCATGAGTGGGTCCAGAGCCAGAGGCTGGGCTTTACCCTGAGGGTAAGACTTTGCCCGGGGGATGTGGGGAGATAAGGGAGGGGAGGGGTGGCCATTCTTGGCCAGTGAGGCAAAAAGCTGGATAGCTGAGGTCACAAGGCAGGCATGATCTCGCAAGGCAAGGAGGGCCTCATGGTCTTTCACATTCAAGGCATGGGCAACACTGCCTCTGCGTGTATAACTCTGCTGGTTGTCCAGCGGCTCCCATTCCCCACCTACAGACCCCTCTCGAGGGATCTGACTGAGGGGACTCAGCCTCTCTGTCTGAGGTTGGTCTCTACGCTGTATTTCCATCACCTCCTCCAGTGAACACTCAATCACACTCCTTCTCTGCTCTTCCCTCTTCTCCTGCTCAAACTGCATATACTCCATCCTCAAGCTCTGTTCACCATCCTCTACATCCCTCACATAAAGTGGTGGTAGATCCCCATGTTCCCTGGCCCCCTTCTGTGGTTGCTCCTCTTCCTCCTCTCCTCCTCCTCCTCTTCCGCTCTCCCTCATGTCGCTCATCTCCGCCCGGAGGCCACGGTTCTCCACCTCCAGCTCTACAATACGACGGCTCAGCAGCGTCGCTTCCTCCTCCACCAGCCGCAGGTGAACCTTGACCTCTGCCTCCCTGGTGTGGGGGGACTTGGCAGTACCACCCTCAGAGGAGTGGGCAGCAGCATCTACGTCTCCATATGCCGAGCGGTACTTTGCCAGCTCTTCACGCATGCTCTCACTTTCCGACACCATCTTGGTCAGCTTCTTGCACATGAGAGCTGATTCCTCCTTGGCGAAGTGGAGCTGGCACTTGATATCAGCACTGTCATCCTGAGGAGTCAAATGGCACAACAATGTGATTAAAAAGGACTTAAAATGTACTCTAATGAAGTCACTCATATGAAAATATAATATTAGATCTTTACCTGGGGGGACAGCTTCTTCTCAGTCTTGCTGGTTGGTGATCTGACATTTTTCCTCTTCAGAGAACTCTGAGAAGTAAAGTAAAACAAATGTCAAAGAATTCTGATGATTCAACAGTATCATTAACGTGATAGTTGCCACCCTATGAAAACATGACAGAGGAGGAGAGGATATAGATGTCATCCTAATAAACCATCTTTCTTTCAGCTTTCCTCTCCTGTCTCCTTCCTGTCTGTCACTCCTGTCTGTATCTCAGAATATTCGTAGAGATTCATACAGGATATCAATGTTTTCACACAGCATTTACTGTCCAAGCAAAACAAACTAAGAGAGTCAAAGTACATGTGTACACAAATACATTTGTTCCATTACAAACACACAGTTGTTCTATGTCTTATAAAGTCCCAACATCAACTTCCTGTATGAGTTGTGTATGTTTGCACTGCAGAGTATGAGAGGAATGTAGGCTGGTGTCACCGTGTCAGTCTCTGTCTGGCGCTTTCTCATGTCTCAAGCAGGGATCACTGGGGTTAAAAGTACTAAAAAATATTCTTACTATATTCTTATATTTTACTGAGCCGTTGCAGTGGGAATAGCCCCATCAAAACTAGGTCTGTAATAAATAGACCCAGAGGCAGTGAACAGTGGATGATTCTGGTGTTAAAAAAACAACAATAAAAGGCACTGTGACAACCAATATAATATTACTATCACCACCCTTAAGGTCTCAGTCTCAAAGCAAGGCAGCAACCAAGACAGGCAAGTTGCAATAACGGTGGTGGTCGTTAAAATGTTCATCTTCCTTTACACTGATGTTGACTAGGTTCCCTGGTAATAGTCTGCCCAGATTAGGTCATCTAAGTGGATTTCCTAGTCAGGATCAAAGGGAGTAGCAGCTGTCTCAGATGAGCAGACTAGGCTGGGCTGACGACAAAGCACCGAATCCTGGATTAAACTAAAACACGTGTAGCTGGACTGCACTGCACTGTCATTAAGAAAGACCTGCATGGGTGACTCCATGGCCACCAGTTGATGACATGGAATTCAGTGATAGTATGGCAGTATGCCAGTACCTAAGACACAGCCTTTTTGATGCCGTAATACATCCTCCTGACTCAGATTTACCCATGCTTAATAGAACCAGAGGAGAGAGAGGGGAGAGAGAGAGAAAACGATGTACCTATTTTGGTCCCTCTTTCTCTCTCTCTCTGTAGTCCCTGGCGAGAAGAATGTCAGCCTCCTACATGCCGTACCACTCTACCTCACTCACTGCCCACCGTCAGCTGCTAGCCATGCCCTGAGCCTTAGGCCCAGCAAAGTCCTAGGATCCAGTCAGGATCATGTGTCACCTCACTTAAGAGTGACAGCAGGATGCATGGGGAGTAACTGGTTGAGATGGGCTAACTGAAGCGTATAGAGCACTATATGAAAGAATAGGACTCTTCCACATGAAAAAATTCTGTAGTATGCTATGGTTTAAATATTATAGTATTCACTGTAGTGTTTTTGCGGACTTTACTGTAGTATTCACTGTAGTGAATAATGTAGTATACTGTAGCATTTACAGGTAACTATAGTATAAATACTGTAGTAAAAGAAAACTGTAGCACACACTATAGTAATGAATGCATGTTTTAGCATATTGTAGTATACTGTAGTATTTACTGTAGTGTTTTTGCGGACTGTAGTATACTGTAGTATTTACTGTAGTGTTTTTACTGACTGTAGTATACTGCAGTATTTACTGTAGTGTTTTTGCAGACATTACTGTATTATTTACTTCAGTGTTTTTTTGTGGATACTACTGTAGTTTTTACTATAGTATTCTACAGTATACTACACAATTCTATAGTAAGCACTACACGATCGAGGGATACTACAGTGTGTAATGTTGTATTTTACAGTATACTACTGTTTAATTTACTATAGTAAATTGTAGTAATTCTTCATGTGGGCTGGACCAGAGTATTGTGGGTTAGTGGAGGGCTAATGGCTAAAAGGATTACACTGAGGGCAGTGGATTAAACTAATACAGTTGGTGGTGGATAGTAGTAGTTGATGGTGGTGTGTAAAAGCAGTACCTCTCTGGCTTTCTTCATTTCAGCCTGTAGAACTTGCTTTGCCACCTCGAGCTCCTGTTGCCTCTCCCGAAGCGCCTCATTCTCCCATTCCAGCCGGGAGTTCTTCTGTTGCACCGACTCCAACTCATTGTGCAGGCGGAGGGATACACTCTTTGCTACCTGTGAAAAGTAGTCCACCACAACAAACTTTAGATGCTATAAAACACTAACAGACAACTGTCTTTGTTGGAGGGAATTAGAGGTCGTTATTGATGACATTCATTTTGTGCCTTTGTCATAGAAAATTACAAGATACTTTTCCAGATATCAGCCTTCAAAACAACAGCCCTGTGTTTTATGCATTGATGTAATAAAGTGAATGAAACATCCCTCGAGGAGCAACCTAAGGCAGGTCAGATTGTGCATGTGATTGTAAGGTGGTGTTCAGCAGAAGATTATATTGTGCTATTTACTCTCCAAGAGAAACTATACTGTATCTAACACAGCAGAGACTGTATTTTAACATATTTTGGCAGTAATAAAAAAGACAGAACATCTCTGCGTTAGAATGTGAAGAGGGGAAAGGGGGAAGGGTGAAGCCAAGAGTATCAAATTCTCTGCTATGCTACTGGTGGGCATTCTATCATCACACACAGCTGAGCAAAGAAACTGAGCATTGCAACCTCCAACAGAGGAATCAGCCCACATGCCAGTACATTTTCCACAGTGATCTACCCACTCACCCCTTGAGGCTGATCGGTCGGAATAATTGTATTTGTCATAATGTCTCTTTAATGTCTTTAATTGGGCAGCGCACGGCAAGTGGCAACCACAAAAATGCAACTCCACCACAACAAAACCCAAACAAAAGCACACACACTCATGGATACATGAAACAGACATACTTCAAATTTCTTGAAGCACATCTGACAGGATGTAACAGTAAGCTGAGCCATATAAGTAATTACAGTTTAATGTGCACTTATAAACTGAGTCATAGGATGTGAGCAGTGCAGTTGATCGTAAACATCCTGAACTCGTTAAACAGTAGAGTGGAATGTACAGCCATTCAAAGGTATTTTTACGGGATTTGGTACATTGACTGGAATCATAATGATTCACTCGACCCTGTTGATAACATTATGCAACAGATCAAGAGAAGGAGGGATTACTGTACAATCCCTACAGGAGAAAGATGCCTGAAAATGAAAAGTTGCTTTGAGTGAGCACTCCACACACATACAGTGAGGGAAAAAAGTATTTGATCCCCTGCTGATTTTGTACGTTTGCCCACTGACAAAGAAATTATCAGTGTATAATTTTAATGGTAGGTTTATTGAACAGTGAGAGACAGAATAACAACAAAGAAATCCAGAAAAACGCATGTCAAAAATGTTATAAATTGATTTCCATTTTAATGAGGGAAATAAGTATTTGACCCCCTCTCAATCAGAAAGATTTCTGGCTCCCAGGTGTCTTTTATACAGGTAACTAGCTGAGATTAGGAGCACACTCTTAAAGGGAGTGCTCCTAATCTCAGCTTGTTACCTGTATAAAAGACACCTGTCCACAGAAGCAATCAATCAATCAGATTCCAAACTCTCCACCATGGCCAAGACCAAAGAGCTCTCCAAGGATGTCAGGGACAAGATTGTAGACCTTCACAAGGCTGGAATGGGCTACAAGACCATCGCCAAGCAGGTTGGTGAGAAGGTGACAACAGTTGGTGTGATTATTCGCAAATGGAAGAAACACAAAATAACTGTTAATCTCTCTCTGCCTGGGGTTCCATGCAAGATCTCACCTCGTGGAGTTGCAATGATCATGAGAACGGTGAGGAATCAGCCCAGAACTACACGGGAGGATCTTGTCAATGATCTCAAGGCAGCTGGGACCATAGTCACCAAGAAAACAATTGGTAACACACTACGCCGTGAAGGACTGAAATCCTGCAGCGCCCGCAAGGTCCCCCTGCTCAAGAAAGCACATATACAGGGCCGTCTGAGACCTTAATCCCATAGAAAATCTGTGGAGGGAGCTGAAGGTTCGAGTTGCCAAACGTCAGCCTCGAAACCTTAATGACTTGGAGAAGATCTGCAAAGAGGAGTGGAACAAAATCCCTCCTGAGATGTGTGCAAACCTGGTGGCCAACTACAAGAAACGTCTGACATCTGTGATTGCCAACAAGGGTTTTGCCACCAAGTACTAAGTCATGTTTTGCAGAGGGGTCAAATACTTATTTCCCTCATCAAAATGCAAATCAATTTATAACATTTTTAACATGCGTTTTTCTGTTTTTTGTTGTTGTTATTCTGTCTCTCACTGTTCAAATAAACCTACCATTAAAATTATAGACTGATCATGTCTTTGTCAGTGGGCAAACGTACAAAATCAGCAGGGGATCAAATACTTTTTTCCCCTCACTGTAAACACACACAAACACACAGACGCCTCACCTTGACGTCATGCTCCAGGGAGCGGACCAGTTCCCCGTCCACCTGGCCAGTCTGGGCCACCCTGAGGCTGCGGCACTCTGCCTTGCGGAGGCGGTACTGCAGGATGCGACACAACTTGTTGGCCTGCTCCAGCTGCAGCCGCAGCTCCTGAAGCTGATACACCTCATCCTCCAGGAACAGGTCCCGCATCTCCAGCATCTCACAGCGCAGCTCCTCCATCTCATCCTGCACAGGACAACCAACAATCATCATCATCAACAGCATCATCAACAACAACAGCATCAGGCTAATTTTAGGCTCTATTATGCTACTTTAGGCACAAAGAAGTGTCAGTTTTGAAGGTGGACCAGTTTAATACTTATTTTTTCTGTGCGTGTGTGTGTGAGTTTTGGTTGTTCTATCCTTGTGGGGACCTAAAATCTATAAAAGTCCCCACAAGAATAGTAAGATAAGGAAAATTCTCCCTCGTGGGGACATTTCCCACATCCCCATGAGGACAAAGGCTATTTTAAGCTTAGGGGTTAGGTTTAGGGTTAGGATTACGATTAGGGTTAGGGTTAAAGTAAGGGTAAGGGGTTAGAGGTTTAGAGTTAGGGTTAGGGAAGGGTCAGGGTTAAGGTTAGGGTTAGGGAAGGGTCAGGGTTAAGGTTAGGGTTAAGGGAAAATAGGATTTTGAATGGAAATCAATTTTAGGTCCCCACAAGGATAGAATAACAAAACGTTTGTGTATGTGTGTGTGTTTGCGTGTGTGCACTGTGTAGGGGAGGAATTGGACCAGAAATCGACTCTGGCATTTCAAACTCATCGCCCATTTTTTTTAGGCCCCAATTAATTAGCCAGATAATGATAATTTTGCCAACTGTGAGTAATTACTTTTGATGGTCCTTGTGCATGCAGCTGCTCCTGCAGTCGCATGCCAGTATTTAAGGTTGACATGGCCAATTACAGAAAGTATCTAATCCGCTCTGCTAAGAAAAGTCTGTCTCTCTAACCTTGACAACAACTGATGTCATGTGCGTGCCTGCGTTGTTGTTTCAATCCTTCAGTATTCATCTCTATTCAAATCAGTCGATATTAAACTTGTTTTCTTTATTATAAGAGGGCTTGGTCAATGTGTGAAATGTGTGAAATAATAAAAAGCCAAATTTTACGCGTAATGACATGTCAATTTAATGAATCATCTTACTTTCAAATACTCATTTTCTGATCTCAAATCGTCGTTTTCTCTGACAAGATCCTCGTGCGTCTCGTCCACGAGCTCTCCGGTTAGTTCTGAATAAGCCAGGGATGCTCCGCTGACATTCAGCGAGGGAAGGGAAGCAAGAAGGGACCCTCCGCATCTAGGAGAATGGTTTCCATCCCCACCAGAATGCATGATAGAATTGTCCTGTGATAGGCCTATCCGTATGAATGCGTTGCCTCCAGTACTCATATCGCGTACACTGATTTGAGCATTCCCACTCGACCTGTCTCTATTTGCCTCTCCGTCTCCACCACTTGGTCCAGTCTCGCAGCTTGGAGACCGAGTGTCCGCAGAAAGTTGGTTTCCCTCCGATGCAGTCAGAAATCCCTCAGCGCAGTCAGAAATGTCAGAACTTCTGTCCGAGTAGGATAGCTTCCCTGACACACAACCTGAATCCTTGCTCAAATCCTCTGAAGCATTGCTAGCATCAATTCGTTCCCTCGGTGTGCTTTGATTTTTTTGGCACTCGGTAACGGATGGTGCGCCCCTTCCTGTGCGCTTCCCTTTCTCCAGTTTCATCTCATTCCCTTTGCCCATGATGCGCCGGACAGTCCCGGTTGACCTGGATGAGCCTGGGGCATCTTTGGGCGGCGCATTCGATGGGGTTCGCTTTTTCTTCATGCTGACACCCTGTTGCGCCTTGTGCTGTCTCTGTCCCCGGTACGCCTGTCTTGGCACCGGACTGTCAACATCTCTGCTGTTCATTTCTTTTCCGTTTATCTTAATATATAGCCTAGTGCATAAAACGAAGAATTGCCCTTAATTAATTCATACAGTCTATTATTCTTTGTTGAGTCCAACAAAATAAACGGAATGAGTTATAACAGAATTGCCACGGCTATTTTCTGTGGAAGCGACTGACCGAAGGAAGGAGAGACCAGCGCACTTCAGTTCATCCTTCGGTCAGTCGGTCGAGTGTGTGCTGTCCATTGCTTGATTTAAACCGGGCCAAAGATTTAAGCATACCCCAACCATCGCTCGCGCACTGTGGCAAATTATGCGGTGCGCCAATGACATTGCCAGTTTTGCGCATCACGCACGATCATAGGCTATGGTCTATGGGTCATCATGGAGATATACAGTACCAGTCAAAAGTTTGAACACACCTACTCATTCCAGGGTTTTTCTTTATTTTTACTGTTTTCAACTCTCGCTCTCTACCGCACCTGCTATTTCAACCTCTAAATGCCCGTCTATGAAAAGCCAAGTGACATTTACTCCTGATATACTGACCTGTTGCAACCTCTACAACCACTGTGATTATTATTTGACCCTGCTGGTCATCTATGAACGTTTGAACATCTTGGAGAAAAATCTGGCCTTAATGGCCATGTACTGTTATAATCTCCACCCGGCACAGCCAGAAGCGGACTGGCCATCCCTCAGAGCCTGGTTCCACTCTAGGGAGTTTTTCCTATCCCCCGTGCTTCTACATCTGCATTGCTTGCTGTTTGGGGTTTTAGGATGGGTTTCTGTGTAGCACTTTGTGACATCTGCTGATGTAAAAAGGGCTTTATAAATACATTTGATTGATTGATTGATTGATAGTAAAGACATCAAAACTATGAAATAACACATATGGAATCATGCAGTAACCAAAAAAGTGTTAAACAAATCAAAATGTTTATTATATTTGAGATTCTTCAAATAGCCACCCTTTGCCTTGATGACAGCTTTGCACACTCTTGGCATTCTCTCAACCAGCTTCACCTGGAATGCTTTTCCAACAGTCTTGAAGGAGTTCCCACATATGCTGAGCACTTGTTGGCTGCTTTTCCTTCACTCTGCGTTCCGACTCATCCCAAACCATCTTAATTGGGTTGAGGTCGGGGGATTGTGGAGACTAGGTCATCTGATGCAGCACTCCATCACTCTCCTTCTTGGTAAAATATCCCATACACAGCCTGGAGGTGTGTTGGGTCATTGTCCTGTTGAAAAACAAATGCTAGTCCCACTAAGCCCAAACCAGATAGGATGGCGTATCGCTGCAGAATGCTGTGGTAGCCATGCTGGTTAAATGTGCCTTGAATTCTAAATAAATCACAGACAGTTTCACCAGCAAAGCACCCCACACCATAACACCTCCTCCTCCATGCTTTACGGTGGGGAATACACATGCGGAGATCATCCGTTCACCCACACCGCGTCTCACAAAGACACGGCGGTTGGAACCAAAAATCTCCAATTTGGACTCTAGACCAAAGGACACATTTTTTTAGTAGTGGTTTCTTTGCAGCAATTCGACCATGAAGGCCTGATTCACACAGTCTCCTCTGAACAGTTGATGTTGAGATGTGTCTATTTCTTGAACTCTGTGAAGCATTTATTTGGGCTGCAATTTCTGAGGCTGGTAATAATATGGACTTGGTCTTTTACCAAATAGGGTTTATCTTTGCCATGCAAACTGGTTATTATTTCTAGACAAAAGTATGGGAAGATGAAACAGCCCATCCAATGGGTGTACTCAATTCAGCTTGGGCGGCTGATGTTCCGGGTGTCCCCAGTGCGTCCCGTACGCCCATGTTCTTTTTTGATAAATGACTCCCTTAAGTGGCCAGAAAATAGAAATTACAACTCTTGCGACGCTGCCACTAATATACTATCAGATGACGTGATGTATTATTGCACTAACAAATAACACCCGTTATTCTGGTCGTCACTACGTCACACACGTTACCATATCCACAAAGTTGTAATTATGTCTAATTTCTCTTCTTAAACTCTGATTTTAAACCTAACCTTAACCCTAACATTAGCCACACTGCTAACATCATGCCTAACCCTAACCTTAAATTAAGACCAAAAAGCACATTTTTGTTTTCATGAAATGTTACGATATAGACCATGTTGACTTTGTGGCTGTGGTAACTAGTGACAACTCGTCTCCTGGCCTTTTTCAGTGCTTTGTCCTCGGAGCGGCACTGTAGTCCATCATACCCATCATGGATCACTATTCTCCCATTGGACATAATGGTAGGAGAGTCAAGAGATTATTCTGTGCTAAAATGTATCCAGGCTGTTGTCAGTCATTAAGGACAGTTGTCCATTAGAATCTGAATTCGTTGAACTGACTTCCAAAATAAATCGCTAGGCCTATATAGGCCATCAGGCTACTGAATATATGCCCATATTAGGCAATATGGAATTCATGTGCATTACAAAAAAGCACTGAGAATCTGGTGCATTTCTTACTGATCTATGCACAAATGAATTTGAGCTCTTTATCCGTTCTATATATCCTATTTCTATTTTTCATCTTCTTGCACTGTCTAGAAACCGAGATAGGGATTGGCTCACAGGCTTATCAGTAGCATCGCCCTTGCCGCCCACTTCCGCCACCTAGAGTTCTTCAAACTGAGTGCAATCTTCGTTGTTTAGTTTTCGTACAGAAACGCATTTGGACGTAGAAACACTGATAAATAAAATGTATTACATTCCTTAAATTCTTTACATTGTATTTAGGCAATTTTCAGTCGTTAGCTGACATTTGCTAGCCGTTAGAATCTGTGATCCAGCACCAGCTCACTTGGTGCGCGGTTTTCGAAAAATGCAAAGACTTTGGAGTGTACTAACTAGCTGGTTGGCTAACATTAGCTGGAGCAGGCTACAGTACAGTAGAAGCACAGTGGTCCTTGCTAGCCAGCCATCACAGGTCAGCAAGCAAGGGTATTTCGCAATGAATAGTAAATTGATTTTCACACAATCTTTTATTATTTTGTGTTAATAACTATAATTATTTTTATATTAATTAGCTTTTGGTACTCGCTGATGGATGTTAATGTGTGTTTTTGTTTGCAGGTGTCTGTGAAGTTTGGATAGAGGTTGGGCCACAAGTACCAGGCCACAATAAAGATGTGTTTTTGAGTGACATTGCACAATACTGCTCAGTATGAACAGCGAGGAAGAGTTCTACGATGCTGAGACAGGTGAGTGCATGCATTAATAATAATAATAATAATAATATGCCATTTAGCAGATGCTTTTATCCAAAGCGACTTAGTCATGTGTGCATACATTTTTACTTATGGGTGGTCCCGGCGATCGAACCCACTACCCTGGCGTTACAAGCGCCATGTTCTACCAATTGAGCTACAGAGGACCATTATGAGGGAGGTAAACCCACTGCTTAGTGCAGAGGTTCCAACCTTTTTTGGTTTTGCTCTGCCCTGAAGTACCCCCTCGTGCATTTTAGCAGTAGGCCCCTACGGTCTCATGAGTCTTCTCAAGTATCCCCTGTATATAGGCCAAGTACCCCCAGGGGTCCTAGTACCCTTGGTTGGCAACCACTGGCTTAGTGTATGTGTGACCCTTTTTTATTGTATCTCTCAGGTTTGGAATCAGATGATGACTCCTGTGAGGTCAGTTTTAAAGATGCCCTAGTGTATGTCCTGGTTCGAATCCAGGCTCTCTCGCAGCCGGCCGCGACCGGGAGACTCATGGGCGGCGCACAATTGGCCCAGCGTCGTCCAGGGTAGGGGAGGGAATGGCCGGCAGGGATGTAGCTCAGTTGATAGAGCATGGCGTTTGCAACGCCAGGGTTGTGGGTTTGTTTCCTGGGGGGGGGCCAGTATAAAAAAAATTAAAAATATATATGTATTCACTAACTGTAAGTCGCTCTGGATAAGAGCGTCTGCTAAATGACTAAAATGTAAAATGTAAATGTAAAATGTATGACAGCAAGCAGTCATCCAATGCCAGCACACCACAGGAAAATGGAGTGTGGGAGCGCAGGTGAGGATGCAAAGGAAGTATCTACAGTATCTCACAAAAGTGAGTACACCCCTCACATTTTTGTAAATATTTGAGTATATCTTTTCATGTGACAACACTGAAGAAATGATACTTTGCTACAATGTAAAGTAGTGAGTGTACAGCTTGTATAACAGTGTAAATTTGCTGTCCCCTCAAAATAACACAACACACAGCCATTAATGTCTAAACCGCTGGCAACAGAAGTGAGTACACCCCTAAGTGAAAATGTCCAAATTGGGCCAATTAGCCATTTTCCCTCCCTGGTGTCATGTGACTCGTTAGTGTTACAAGGTCTCAGGTGTGAATGGGGAGCAGGTGTGTTAAATTTGGTGTCATCGCTCTCACACTCCCTCATACTGGTCACTGGAAGTTCAACATGGCACCTCATGGCAAAGAACTCTCTGAGAATCTGAAAAAAAAGAATTGTTGCTCTACATAAAGATGGCCTGGGCTATAAGAAGATTGCCAAGACCCTGAAACTGAGCTGCAGCGTGGTGGCCAAGACCAAACAGCAGTTTAACAGGACAGGTTCCACTCAGAATGGAACCAGAGTGGAGCTTGACGCCTTGATAAGTTCCTTTCCTGAGGATGGCTCACCCCTCACAGTTCTGGGTGACTTTAACCTCCCTACGTCTACCTTTGACTCATTTCTCTCTGCCTCCTTCTTTCCACTCCTCTCCTCTTTTGACCTCACCTTCTCACCGTCCCCCCCTACTCACAAGGCAGGCAATACGCTTGACCTCATCTTTACTAGATGCTGTTCTTCTACTAATCTCACTGCAACTCCCCTCCATGTCTCCGACCACTACTTTGTATCCTTTTCTCTCTCGCTCTCCTCCAACACTACTCACTCTGCCCCTACTCAGATGGTAATGCGCCGTCACAACCTTCGCTCTCTCTCTCCCGCTACTCTCTCCTCTTCCATCCTATCATCTCTTCCCTGGTGGAACAAGCTCCCTCACGACGCCAGGACAGCGGAGTCACTCACCACCTTCCGGAGACACTTGAAACCCCACCTCTTTTTTTTAAGGAATACCTGGGATAGGATAAAGTAATCCTTCTACCCCCCCCCCCCCCCCCCCCCCCCAAAAAAAAACAACATATTGTAAAGTGGTTATCCTACTGGCTATAAGGTGAATGCACCAATTTGTAAGTCGCTCTGGATAAGAGCGTCTGCTAAATGACGTAAATGTAATATAATGTAACAGGCCTCGCCATGGTCGACCAAAGAAGTTGAGTGCACATGCTCAGCGTCATATCCAGAGGTTGTCTTTGGGAAATAGACATATGAGTGCTGCCAGCATTGCTGCAGAGGTTGAAGGGGTGGGGGGTCAGCCTGTCAGTGCTCAGACCATACGCCGCACACTGCATCAAATTGGTCTGCATGGCTGTCGTCCCAGAAGGAAGCCTCTTCTAAAGATGATGCACAAGAAAGCCCGCAAACAGTTTGCTGAAGACCAGCAGACTAAGGACATTGATTACTGGAACCATGTCCTGTGGTCTGATGAGACCAAGAAACTTATTTGGTTCAGATGGTGTCAAGCGTGTGTGGCAGCAACCAGGTGAGGAGTACAAAGACAAGTGTGTCTTGCCTACAGTCAAGCATGGTGGTGGGAGTGTCATGGTCTGGGGTTGCATGAGTGCTGCCGGCACTGGGGAGCTACAGTTCATTGAGGGAACCATGAATGCCAACATTTACTGTGACATACTGAAGCAGAGCATGATCCCCTCCCTTCGGAGACTGGGCCGCAGGGCAGTATTCCAACATGATAACGACCCCAAACACACCTCCAAGACGACCACTGCCTTGCTAAAGAAGCTGAGGGTAAAGGTGATGGACTGGCCAAGCATGTCTCCAGACCTAAACCCTATTGAGCATCTGTGGGGCATCCTCAAACAGAAGGTGGAGGAGTGTAAGGTCTCTAACATCCACCAGCTCCGTGATGTCGTCATGGAGGAGTGGAAGAGGACACCAGTGGCAACCTGTGAAGCTCTGGTGAACTCCATGCCCAAGAGGGTTAAGGCAGTGCTGGAAAATGATGGTGGCCACACAAAATATTGACACTTTGGCCCCAATTTGGACATTTTCACTTAGGGGTGTACTCACTTTTGTTGCCAGCGGTTTAGACATTAATGGCTGTGTGTTGTGTTATTTTGAGGGGACAGCAAATTTACACTGTTATACAAGCTGTACACTCACTACTTTACATTGTAGCAAAGTGTCATTTCTTCAGTGTTGTCACATGAAAAGATATACTCAAATATTTACAAAAATGTGAGGGGTGTACTCACTTTTGAGATACTGTATGTCCTGTATGCACAGTTTGCATGTGTATTCAGTGTCCATAGTTTGTGTCTTTGTGTTGGTGTTTGTTACAGGAAAACCCTGCCTGCTCCAATGATGTCCAGATGTGACTACAGTGTATGGGGCATACTAAAGAAATGCATTGGCATGGTGAGGATGTAGATGTAATAACACGTTTAAGATGTCTGCAACACTTCTATGCCCTAAAAACCATTTGCTATACAGACGCACAAACAGAAATCATAACAATGATACAAATTGGATGACGTTCTGTTTTAGCCACATCTTACAGAGGAGTTCATATAAGCGCTTTAGGCTACATGTACTAAACAAGCTAATATCTATGAATCGCTCTTTTTTTGGGGGGTCCTTTGCTGCATTTACACAGGAGCTGTCCAAAATAACGATGCCCATCATGTTCAACGAGCCCCTGAGTTTCCTCCAGAGAATGTCAGAGTACATGGAACACACTCACCTCATCCACAAAGCCTGCATCCTGTCAACTCCATAGACTGCATGCAGGTAAACAAAACAGATAGGATACACTGATACCCTCCACTCAAAAAGCCTATTGTTGTACCTGCTCTTACCGGGAACTGAAGAAGAGGCTCACACAATGACATACTTTGTTTTCTCCTGTGTTATCTCTCTCTGTCAGGTGGTAGCTGCTTTTGCTGTTTCTTCTGTGGCATCTCAATGGGACAGAACTGGAAAGCTATTTAATCCTTTGCTAGGAGAGACTTATGAACTCACACGGTACTGTTTGGCATTTTCAAAAGAGTAATCATACTGTACCGCTTATCTTTTTCTGGAAACCTTTTGTTGATTTTCAGAGGATAGATTTGACTTATTTAAACTATTTGGATAATCTATTTATTGTTGAGGTGTCGGATTATGCACTGTTTAAAGTTTGCTTCTTGTCTGTCTTAGTGAGGACAAAGGGTACAGGTTGATCTCAGAACAAGTGAGCCACCATCCACCTATCAGTACCTTCAATGCCCAGTCTCTGAAGCAGGAGTTTGAGTTCCACGGCTCCCTCTACCCCAAACTCAAGTTCTGGGGCAAGAGCGTGGAGGCAGAGCCTAAAGAAACCATGACAATGGAGCTGCTCAAGTGAGTGAGTGAGTGTGTGTAAGAAAGTGTATGTAGTATGTATGTTGACATATGTGTGTACTAAACACATATACAGACTCTCTTTCTCACATCAACAGCTAGTGGCTTGTTAACGACTTGTTTTGTTGCAGACATAAAGAGGCGTATACATGGACAAACCCTCTCTGCTGTGTACATAACATCATCATGGGCAAACTGAATTGAGCAATATGGAACTGTGGAAATAGTCAACCACAAGTAAGACAGCAAAGACCAAACCTTTATTCTTTGTTCACAACAAACGCTTATTATTATTTGATTGAATTTACTATGTTAAATGTTCTCCCTCCTGCCTCTTCTGATTGGTCAGCACAGGGGACAAGTGTGTGTTGAACTTCAAGCCGTGCGGCATGTTTGGGAAGGAGCTGCACAAAGTGGAGGCCCACATTCAGACTGAGGTGAGGGAAGAATAGACTCAAGCATCATCAGCCTTAATGATCACACAATTAGGAATTTGTTATTTCATAGTTATATGTCAGTTGTTATGCATTCTGTCAGCATTGACGTACAATAACGACTGCATGTTTTAAGTTGTAGGTCACTGTTTCGTGTGGTTGGTCCAACATTTATTTTGTTTGCTTTGTGTTTGGAACAGTAAGAAGAAGTGACGTGTGCTGTATGGGAAGTGGACAGAGTGTGTACAGTGTGGAGCCTAAAGTGTATGAAGCCAACAAGAAGTAGTCAGAGAAGGTGGATACTAAGAAAAATAAACAGGCGAGCACACAGACCTGTGATTTGTCCAATTGTTTTTAAACAATGGCAAAACATTTGGTGAAATAATTTTTCTTAAACAGTGTTTCTTCCTTTCACATAAACATGCAGTGGCTTTAGGTGAAGGTAAGGTACACTACCAGTCAAAAGTTTGGACACACCTACTCATTCAAGGGTTTTTCTTTATTTTTACTATTTTTTTACAATGTAGAATAATAGTGAAGACATCAAAACTATGAAATAACACATTTGGAATCATGTAGTAACCAAAAAAGTGTTAAACAAATTAAAATATATTTGAGATTTTTCAAATAGCCACCCTTTGCCTTGATGACAGCTTTGCACACTCTTGGCATTCTCTCAACCAGCTTCATGAGGTAGTCACCTGGAATGCATTTCAATTAACAGGTGTGCCTTGTTAAAAGTTCATTTGTGGAATTTCTTTCCTTAATGCGTTTGAGCCAATCAGTTGTGTTGTGAGAAGGTGTTTGTGTGGGGGGGGTATACAGAAGATAATATGGACTTGGTCTTTTACCAAATAGGGTTATGGCAAGAATAGCTCAAATGAGCAAAGAGAAACGACAGTCCATTACTTTAAGACATGAAGGTCAGTCAATACGGAAAATGTCAAGAACTTTGAACGTTTCTTCAAGTGCAGTCGCAAAAAACATCAAGCGCTATGATGAAACTGGCTCTCATGACCGCCACAGGAATGGAAAACCCAGTTACCTCTGCTGCAGAGGATAAGTTCATTAGAGTTACCAGCCTCAGAAATTGCAGCCGAAATAAATGCTTCATAGAGTTCAAGAAACATTTCAACATCAACTGTTCAGAGGGGACTGTGTGAATCAGGCCTTCATGGTCGAATTGCTGCAAAGAAACCACTACTAAAGGACACCAGTAAGAAAAAGAGACCTGCTTGGGCCAAGAAACACAAGCAATGGACATTAGACCGGTGGAAATGTGTCCTTTGGTCTGGAGTCCAAATTGGAGATTTCTGTTTCCAACCGCCGTGTCTTTGTGAGACGCGGTGTGGGTGAATGGATGATCTCCGCATGTGTAGTTCCCACCGTAAAGCATGGAGGAGGTGATATGGTGTGGGGGTGCTTTGCTGGTGACACTCTCTGTGATTTATTTAGAATTCAAGGCACACTTAACCAGCATGGCTACCACAGCATTCTGCAGCGATACGCCATCCCATCTGGTTTGGGCTTAGTGGGACTAGCGTTTATTTTTCAACAGGACAATGACCCAACACACCTCCAGGCTGTGTAAGGGCTATTTTACCAAGAAGGAGAGTGATGGAGTGCTGCATCAGATGACCTGGCCTCCACAATCCCCCGACCTCAACATAATTGAGATGGTTTGGGATGAGTCGGATGGCAGAGTGAAGGAAAAGCAGCCAACAAGTGCTCAGCATATGTGGGAACTCCTTCAAGACTGTTGGAAAAGCATTCCAGGTGAAGCTGGTTGAGAGAATGCCAAGCGTGTGCAAAGCTGTCATCAAGGAAAAGGGTGGCTATTTGAAGAATATTTGGATTTGTTTAACACTTTTTGGTTACTACATGATTCCATATGTGTTATTTGATAGTTTTTGATGTCTTCACTATTATTCTACAATGTAGTAAATAGTAAAAATAAAGAAAAACCCTTGAATGAGTAGGTGTGTCCAAACTTTTAACTGGTACTGTATGTAAATGTGATATTTCAATTTGTAATACATTTTGGAAAATTTCTAAAAACCTGTTTTTGCTTTTTCATTATGGGGTACTGTGTGTAGATTGAGAGGGGGGGGGGGACAATTTAATCAATTTTTGAATAAGGCGGTAATGTAACAAATTGTGGAAAAAGTCAAGGGGTCTAAATACATTCCGATGAGAGGAATCCCAATGGCCGGCAGTGGGAGAAGATGGAGCGAGATGGATTTTGGCCTACATTCTGCAAATATTCTCATCGATTAAACATTTTATCTCAATACAGTTTTCTGTTCCCTAAACTACAATATGTTACGAACAGAATGGACAAAGTTTTGTAGACTTTACCAGTAAAAAAAATGTCATTGTTTAGAAGGAATGCAAGAGCATATTTCGTAATGCACACGTGCACTTCCCTGAGTAGGTGTTCCTAACGGAAATATGTAAATATATGTTAGAACGCCCCAATATGATCTCGCTAGCTCGTGCTTGGCTCTGCTCATTGCTTGTTCTGCCCACTGTGATTCATTTGCTCCCATTGGGCGACAGGCTGTGGTGTATCTTGGGTTACCTATAAAATTATTTGGTACAGTGGTTTCAACCTCCTATTTGTGATGGGCATTCCGAGACATTTCGGTGAGCCGGCTTCTGGCTACTGTGGGAAATTATTCTCTTATATTTTAGATGTGCTGTTAGCTTAATAAGAAAGCATTAATGATTAAACATAATAGGTTTGTACTGTACTGATATAAATTGGTCAACATAAGCTGTGATTAATGTGGGGAACTATTAGGGGGTAGGCTGAGAAGACTTGTGTCTCACATACACACACACACACTGCCTCTTTGTTAGAACGCTCAAGGACATGTGTTCTGCTACAAAGATGTCTGGGGTTGCTGACTTGAGACAAGTTGTGGAGAAAACAACTGACACCTGGCAACAGTGAAGCGCCAAGGGGCTGGGACCAGCCTGTGCGCCAACGATAGGCTGAGTAAGTCTAAACCACGCTCAGTCTCTACTCTGATAGGCCAGCAGGGAGCGGGAACTATCTCTGTCAGAGTATTTAAAGAATAACTTATAACAATGGACCAGTTCTCTGTCTGCCCTGCGTGGTATTTCAGTGGACCCGTATATACGAACATCATATTTACCATTGAAGTGTTTTGCATTAATTAAAATACTAGTCTATTTTAGAAGGCGTGTATTGACCTCTTTTTGTTCCAATACCAGATTTGAATTGACGCAACTTAACACTACCAAACGGCTCTTCGTTCAAAATGCTTAACATTTTACTAAGAATCATGAAAACATTTCCAATGTAAAGCGCAAAAAGTAGGCTACCATTTATGAAATGCGCGTTCAAATACATTTTTACCTGTCCTACTTATTAGAGCACCTGATTTTTTTTGTTTTGTTTTTTAAAGTTTTTGTAAAATTATTTTTAGCACATTGCAAAAATTGCCGTGGACCACGCTCTCCCCACTATTTATTGTTTCTGCAGTGAGGATTCAGCCTCTTTAGTGAATTATTTGGTAACCTATCTACATATAATCGTTGTTTTGAGCTCAAAAAGCAGTAGCAGTGTGCAAATCAGGGAGCCAAATGAACGGCTCTTTCACCGATGCGATTCGGTTCCCGACATTCAACAAAAAGATCAATTCAAAAAGAGCAGTTGGTTAAGGAACGATACATCACCTCCTATTAGATTGTTGCGTTCTCCTCTAGCTACTCCTGCAATCTGATTCCAAGGCCATCTGGCATCTTTATTTCAAAGTAAAATGTAAATTGGTGTTTATTTTTTATCTACTGGAAGTATTACTTAAAGTAGCTAGATACATATTGAATTCAGGATAATGCAATTAAAGATTAGACTGCTACATTGTTGATTATAACAGTAGCTAGCTATTTAAAATTCGCAAGCTAGCTAACGTTAGCTAGGCTAGCAAGCTAACGTTTGTCATTGTTTATCATCTTTACCCTCTTTGCACAACGCCAGATCATCATCATGTCGGGAGCTCTGTTCCCGGTGTGGTGTCGGTGTCCTGCGGCTCCTCCAGCAAATTCCTGGTTGAGTTTCGGGCAGGGAAGATGACCATGAAGGGTAGCACAGTGACTCCAGACAAGCGCAAGGGACAAGTCTATGTTCAGCAGACTGACGACTCCCTCATTCATTTCTGTTGGCTGGATCGGACCTCTGGAAACTTAGATGATGTCAGTGGCACTTTTCTGTTGGTGCTGAAACTGCACCCCTCTCTCTGTGTCCTTTGTGTTGTCATGGTTAACTAACCCCAGTGATGAATATTATTGTCCCTATTCAGGACCTGATCATCTTCCCAGATGATTGTGAGTTCAAGAGAGTGAACCAGTGTACTACTGGTCGGGTGTTTGTGCTGAAGTTAAAGGCTGGCTCCAAGAGGCTGTTCTTCTGGATGCAGGTGTGTATGGCATGATGAAGATCCTATGGCTGTGTTTACACAGGCAGCCCAATTCTGATATTTTTTCCCACTAATTGGTCTTTTGACAAATCATGTCATCTCTTTTAATGTCAGATTATTTTCAGAGCTGATCTGATTGGTCAAAAGACCAATTAATGAAAAAATATCAGAATTGGGCTGCCTGTCTAAACACACCCAACGTGATCGACACCCCTGCCTCCTTTGTATATTGTATATCACTCTGCCTCCTTTGTATATGTCCCGTGTAGCTCAGTTGGTAGAGCATGGCGCTTGCAACGCCAGGGTTGTGGGTTCAATTCCCACGGGGGGCCAGTATAAAAAAATATATAAAAAAATGTATTCACTAACTGTAAGTCGCTCTGGATAAGAGCGTCTGCTAAATGACAAAAATGTAAATGTATATTTCTCTGCAGAGGAAGGTAATGTTATCAGCTGCCGATTGTATGAGAAAAATATGTTCCTGGTGTAATAGTGTCATTTCTATTTCCCTGTTATAGGAGCCCAAGACTAAGGATGAATAGTACTGCCGTAAAGTGAATGAGTATCTGAACAACCCTCCTATGCCTGGAGCCCTGGGCAGTGGAGGCAGCAGCGGGCATGAACTGGGGGGTAAGGATTAAAGAAGGGTGCACTGCACAGTGCACACACTCGCAAACAGACCACAAAGGTATGTTGACACAGGAAGATTCCAATTATTATTATCAATGCATTCTCTGAGACGATAGTTCCTTCACCACTCAGCCTCTCCTTTGTGCATGATGTGTTTATCCGTTCGGGAACATTTTGCATTCTTCCTCCTGTCCTAGGCAAGGGTGGACTGCAGAGTCTCCTCGGTAACATGAGTCACAACCAGCTCATGCAGCTCATTGGACCAACTGGACTGGGAGGTCTTGGTAAGTGGCTGTTGTTTAGTGTACTGTCTGTACTGGCTGCACAGTCTTTATTTACCCCTCGTAGCAATGTGCTTAAAACAGCTGGATTGACTGAGAATGTGTTCTGGGCTGGAGTGCCTGACTTGATTGGGTTCAGTCATTAATTGCAAGTCTATCATAACAGGATTGTTTGGGAGACAAATTAATCTGCTCCCTATTTCTGTCATGTGTCTGAATGTGTCCACCAGTCTTTCTGAATGTGTCTGTCTGTCCGTCTTCTGTCTGTAGGAGGTCTTGGGGCTCTGGCTGGGCCGGGCCTGGCCAGCCTGCTAAGTAGTGAAGGTCCTGCAGCCGGCAACTCCTCTTCAAGGTACCACAAGCCAACAGACTTACTTCACTGCTAAATTAATGAATTTAGTACATTTATACACTTGTCTCTCTTCAGCTCAGACTACACACTCACTAGCCAACTTTTACAGATCGCTTATTCTACATTTATTACAACCCCTGTGAATTTAGTTAGTCTCTCTGTCTCTCTCCCGCTCAGTCCATCTCAGTCTCCTGTAGTCACCCCCACCTCCACTGCCACCCGGCTGGGCTCCTCCCAGGTGCCAACCACACCCATCACCCCGTCTGCCACCAGTGCAGTTTCACCCATGGCTTCATCCGCCACCCCTGTTGCTCCCTCCCTCGCAGCCGGGGCAGCCAGCCCCACCCAGCCAATCCAGCTGAGTGACCTGCAGAGTATCCTAGCAACCATGAATGTACAAAACATATAAATTAGAGAGCAGCTCACAACCCAACTCAACAGTTTAGAACAGTGGACAGAGCAATAAGGAGTCTCTTGAAGATGATAAGGGACGTTAATCAGGCTGTTACCAGTTAAATAAAAAGCCTTGCAGCAGTAGATCCATGACTGTGAATTTGAAAATGACCCTCTGTATTTGTAGCTGTCTGATATGTTTGAAATATGAATGACTGTGTTTGTTCTCTCTACAGTGGACCTGGCCAGTGTTGTGACCCCTGAGATCATGGCTCCTATCCTGGCCAATGCTGAGGTCCAGAAGAGATTGCTACCCTGCCGTCAGGAGAGTCCCTGCCTCAGAGCACCGACGAGCTCCACAACACACTCACCTCCCCACAGTTTCAGCAGGTATAACACACACACACACACACTGCTCTGAGTATGTGTTTAGCAGTGCTCTTCCTTTCTCTGTAGAGTACACTAGAGTAGCAGTGTTAACACTATTACTATTTGTATGATAAAGTGATCTTGGTCTTTTTTAGCTACCGCTTGAGTGCTACCTTTCGTATACTATTGTATGAGTACAGTATGTATGATGTAAAGCAGTGATTATTCTCTTTGTAGGCCATGAGTCTGTTCAGTAGTGCCCTGGCTTCAGGGCAGCTGGGGCCTCTAATGAACCAGTTTGGGCTGCCAACAGAAGCTGTGGATGCAGCTAACAAAGGAGGTCAGTGTCCTGCGTACAAAACATGAACTCAGGGACTTTGTTTGTATGCATGTTGTTCCATTGTTTAGAGAGAACAGATAACATGCAGTCTCCTGCCTGTGCATATATTCCTACATAATGTTGACATAACATTAGTGTCTACCATTTTGAATAAGATTTCCATAAGAGGTTATGCCCTGCTGTTTTCATGTGTGAAATTCTAATTGAGCTTTCCTCTATTCCAGACGTTGAGGCTTTTGCTAAAGCCATGGAGACAGACAGCAAGTCTGAGAATGATGACGAAGATATGAGTTTGGATTAGTACCTGTGTTAGTTCAGTTTGATTAAATGTTTTTTATTACATTTATTATTTACTGGCTGATTTGTTATTTAGAGCACTGAAGCTGTGTACCATTTCCTTCTGAACATGTCCTGTACTCAGAATATATATTTAATGGCATGTAAGACACCTACCCTCTCTATTGAGTGTTATAAATTAACAAATTAATGATGTACACATGCTCAAATCCTCAGAGCTTGAATCAACATAACATTAAATGTGTTCCCTGATATTGCAAACCAGAATACTGTGACTGTTTAGGACTTGGGCCTGGGTAGACTAGTGACAGCTGCATGTGCCAATCTGTGACCTGTAGCTTCCTGACCAAAAAAATAACACTCCAGTCACATGGTCTTAATGGTCAGAAAATATTTTTAAAACATTTTATAATTTAAGAAAAAATACTTTTACAAAATGTACTCCATCCATGAGCACAACATTTTCAGAACAGTTCTACCATTTCACATTGTAAAGAAATTACATGAGGTAATTTTTGAAGCATACATTTGCAAAACAGAGACATCCATTCACACCACAGCAGAAATGGGCATTTCTACACAAAACGTTTTCTCCAAGATCACTCGCAGAACAATGAGCTTCACATAACATTTTAACATAAGTCTCCTGAGTGGCGCAGTGGTCTAAGGCACTGCATCGCAGTGCTAACTGTGCCACTAGAGATCCTGGTTCGAATCCAGGCTCTGTCGCAGCCGGCCGCGACCGGGAGACTCATGGGCGGCGCACAATTGGTCCAGGGTAGGGGAGGGAATGGCCGGCAGGGATGTAGCTCAGTTGATAGAGCATGGCGTTTGCAACGCCAGGGTTGTGGGTTCCAAATCCCAAGGGGGGCCAGTATAAAAAAATATAATGTATTCACTAACTGTAAGTCGCTCTGGATAAGAGCGTCTGCTAAATGACTAAAATGTAAATGTAACATAACAGTAGGTCTGTCCAGATACATTATGCAAAGCCTGCAATTTCCCCTTAATTCACAGGTACGGTGAAACAACACCCAAACAGCAACAAGAGTGAAATACAAGAGGGAATAACATCTGGCTAGGACTGATACATAATTCAACTCTTATTGTGGTTTTAGGCACTTACTGTTTTGTCGAGTGGCATGATCCAACACGAATGAAGACAAATACACAAATACTGTAAATAAATCCACTTTTTAGGACACACACACACAAATAACTGCTTTCTACATGCTCTCATTGAAGAGGTTTTCTGTTTGTTTGATAAATCCCATGATCCCAGAATGATCCATGGAAAATAAAGCTTTAATTCTAAGATATTTCCTGAGAACTAAATATAACAACTGGCTTGTGGATGATCCAGCACATTGAACAATATGGTAAGAATACTTATTGCAAAGCCTATACCTGGGTGTTGATATACAATACCAACCAGGTACTGATATGAAGTTTGATTGAACATTAACAAAACCATCCACAGCAGAAAAGTAATTTGTGTACTAGAAGATCGATAATGCCAACATCAAAGAGGCAGTGGATTGCACAGTGGTGACTTAAAGTCGACACAATTAGACTGGTTGCTAGCTACAGTACAGACATGATCAAAACTGTTGAGACTCCAACCCAAGAAAAGGATAATAAATACCATCCAGGCAAAGCTCTAAACTAATGATAGAATAAAACCAACTGAAAGGCTGATGCTTCTACAGTATAGATTAAAGCGACATTCTGGCCAGCCCAGAACTCTTCCTCACAAACACGTATTTCAATCACACAATCATTTTGAGGCTTTTTAAGTCCAATGACTGATGTGTCATTTTCAAAGTGAATGAATAAATAGTAAGATCAACACAAGCTACAATGAGCGAAGATACCAATACCAGGCACCATTTACACATTAAAAAACAAACCATTTCTGTACCTTTGGATGGGGAATTACTTCAGGGCGGCTAAATTATTTCAAACTGATATGGCAACCATCAACATCACATTGTGCAGACCTTATCAGACACATCCTTTAAATAGAGTTTAAGTTAAGACTTCTTCCCACACAGCTAGAAATGAAAGTACAGAGGATTAGAAGAAACAAGCAGCATATTTAATGTGATCTGTGACATCTCTAACATAGAGCGCTATCATGCGTTTTGAATGCGTTGCGAGTCTTAATCTGGTTTTATTTTTTTAATCGTTTTTTACTTTGAACAACAAAGATGCCTTTTGGCCTGCTGCTTTTAGGTCCATGTAATTTAGAAAACTCATACTTCGGTGGCCTGTGTGGTCCTGCGGTTACAGCCGCTGACCCCGGCACACATGTATGCCAGAGTAGGCATTGGTTCGAATCCGGCCCACTTGCACATGTGTGAAATAGGACAACTATAAGCACCCACCACTTTAACTCCCCACTCGACTTTCCAACACTATCATCTCTTCAATAAAGCATTAAAAAAAAACTCCTCACCATGGCCCAGCCTGCCCCTCAGTCGCCACACACCTCCATCAAACAGCATGCATAACCTCCATAACAACCACCTGTGCTCTCACCTGCATTCGTTAGCTTTCTTCTCACAAGCAACCAAACCAATGGAGACCAACAGATGCGTATATTGACAACTAAAACCATCTACATCTGATCACCTGTAACCCATCATTGCCGCTCATCCGAGCACCAATGCCTTCAAGACCAAAATACCTCAACTAGACAATAATAAAGTCCAACGGCTACCCTCCTCTCTGTGTGTTCTTACAGACACCCCCATCAGGTTGCCATCCTACACTCAGTTGTGGAGCTATTCTTAAGTAAATATTGAAGGTGTACTGTTTGTACAAATAAACATGGTTTTGAACCCTTCTATGAAAAAAATATTCACATCAGAATGCCATACACACCCCAGAAATAATAATATAATAATACCAAGATATTATATTGGATATTGTCATATCAAGTTATTAAGATATTGTATTGCATTCAATCAAAATAAATGTTTATGAATACATCAAGAATTAAAAATAAATATTGAGTACCTAAACAGTTTTTTTTCCTCCTCCGTTTGAATAAGGGGCATGTAGGCTGGGCTGGCCTGCTACACCAGGATCAGCATTTCCAATCAATATCATCAGGACTTAAATATCCACTGGCCCAGGCCAGTTCTCTGGGCCACCTCCAGGCTCCAGCTTAGCCCTGCTTCACCAGCCTGCGGTAGTGTGGCATGACCTTGCTGTCAGGGAGGTAGAGCCCCATTTCCAAGGCAACCAGGACAGGGAACTCCAATGGAATCAACTCCCGGCGGTTTATACGAAAACGCTCCTCCAGCTTCTGCTCAACCATGGAGAGAGGGGGCAGGGGGGGGGGGCTAAGAACAAGAAGACAACCTCCTACAATACAGCCCAATGCTCTGTAACAATTCAATTCATTCAAGTGATCCTGATGTGAGCAAAATTATCCATACATTTTAAAACACAAGGTACTGTATTTTTAATTCTTAAAAAATGTATGCCATGCTCAAAGGGGTGGGTTGAATAATATAATTGTATGTTAGGAGTGCTACTTGATTGTAAGTTGCTCTGGATAAGAGCCTCTGCTAAATGACTAAAATGCAAATGTGAAAAAACTACTTCACTCACGTCAATCAGCTGTCGGACCTCCTGCTTCTTCAGGTCACTGCTGATCTTGGCTGCCAGCAGGACGCATGCTGCAGACACCAACTTCCTATTCTGCTTGTTCAGGCGGCCCTGCATCACCAGTTTCTCAAAGTACACAAATGCCATGGCAACTGTGACCGGCTGCAAACTGCACTCCTCTCCCACTGCACGTATCTCCCACTTCAGGCTGTCAAACAGGAGGGCGGTTATAGGTTACACATGGGTGTGTATGGTAGGCAGATATGCAGGATTTTCCATATGTAAATGCATGGTTTGGAGACAAAGATACAAATGTGATTTTCAGAGAATGATACAGACAGTAGACAAAAAAAGTACAATGTGTTCATGCACTGTGCACCTTCTTATCTTGCTGAGGGTCAGTTTGATATGGGGGAACTTCTCCTTGAACGTCTCATTCATGTCTTTCTTCAGGTCTGACGGCTTCACATACTCAATAACAGTCGTCTGGAAGACAGGGAACAAGATAAATATGAGAACTTTGCTTTCATCCTATTCATAGAGATTGCATTATGATGCAATGTTTATTATGTGAGGTAAAGTTTACTTGTCAGAAAATCTCTTTATAATATGGATTGTTTTATGTTTATAATGGTGCTACTGTACAAAATCAGGGCATTCTGGACTGTCAGTGTGTGATGTGATGTATTGTCTAGTCACAAAGTCATGTGGTGAGGTGTGTGTAACATGTAGAATGTTGTATGAATGATTACCACATATGATGAGAATATAAGAACTCTCTTGTGTCTCCCGCAAGGCCACTGAGGGTCACTGAGTAGGTAGGGATCATAGTCTGCCAGGTCTTCTATATCTGTAAAAATGATTTTAAATGAGAAGACAACAGTAATAATTGCAAAAACAATTATAGCGAAGTGGAGCTTACTCTGGTCCTGTCCTATGGTGCTGTTGAGTCGAGACGGGATGGTGTAGTTCTTCTGGCCGTTGCCTCGGTAACATGACAGGGGGGTCTGTGTTGTGCTGGGCTCTAGTGCTCCACTGCTCTTTGGCCTCACCAAGGCATTAGTGGGGAAAAGGAACTGGGCGTACGATACCGTCTGATGAGGAAAGAGACAGACGTTAACGAACACAAAGCACAAACAGTGTGCAATTACACTCTCCAGTTCAACCTTACCTTTCCATATGCACCTAGCTCCACCCTCAGGCCCTCCAGGCCAGGGAACAGGTCAGATGCCACCCCAGAGGACAGCTGTTGTCTCTGAGCCTCCAGCTTTGGGTCACTGGGTGGGCAGGAAGAGAAACTACTCATGTCACCATCATGCATCATAAAATGTATGCACGCATGACTAAGTCACTTGGATAAAAGTGTCTGCTAAATGGCATATATTATATTATATAATTATTATGCAGCTCCACATTAAAACCTGTGATCATCATAACACAACTCCTTTCCTGATGGCGATTCAGGACACACGAGAGGATGGCTGGGTCATATAGCGAGACAGAGGTGGGCTCTAGTTGGTTAGGGCTTTGTGTCTGTACCTGAGGTGAATACTCTCTCCATAGGGCAGCACTGAGAAAGCAGCACATAGAGACCGCTTGGCACAAATCATCATGATCCTGCAGGACACAGATAACAAGTACAGGCACACAGAACATCTGCAGTGTCAGTCTACACAAACAAAAGCTATAGTCACACACCACTAAATGGGTCGGGTCGCCCAGACATTGGCCTCCAGTTAAGAAAATCCTCAATAACCAAAAATGTCTCATTGGTGTTACTACTCCTACTGATGGCACAATGCTATCCTAATGTAAGACAATAAAATAAAAAGGCAAGTCATATAGCTACCATATTAGTTCATTTAGAATGGAAAGATGTCCACCTGTGGTAAATGATGGTCGTTGTCCTGTTGGAAGGTGAAACTTCGCCCCAGGTTTACATCAAGGATCTCTCTGTACTTTGCACTGTTCATCTTTCCCTTGATCCTGACTAATCTCCCAGTCCCTGCCGCTGAAAACATCCCCACAGCATGATGCTGCCACCACCATGCTTCACCGTAGGGATGGTGCCAGGTTTCCTCCAGACGTGACGCTTGGCATTCAGGCCAAAGAGTTCAATCTTGGTTTCATCAGACCAGAGAATATTTTTCTCATGGTCTGAGAGTCTTTAAGTGCCTTTTGACAAACTTCAAGTGGGCTGTCATGTGCCTTTTACTGAGGAGTGGCTTCCGTCTGGCCACTCTACCATAAAGGCCTAATTGGTGGAGTGCTGCAGAGATGGTTGTCCTTGTGGAAGGTTCTCCCATCTCCACAGAGGAACTCTAGAGCTCTGTCAGTGACCCTCAGGTTCTTGGTCACCTCTCTGACCAAGGCCCTTCTCACCCCGATTGCTCAGTTTGGCCAGGCGGCCAGCTCTAGGAAGAGTCTTGATGGTTCCAAACTTCTTCCATTTAAGAATGATGGAGACCACTGTATTCTTGGGGACCTTCAATGCTGCAGAATTTTTTTGGTACCCTTCCTCAGATCTGTTCCTCGAAACAATCCTGTCTCGGAGCTCTACGGACAATTGCTTTGACCTCATGGCTTGGTTTTTGCTCTGACATGCACTGTCGACTGTGGGACCTTATATAGACAGGTGTGTGCCTTTCCAAATCATGTCCAATCAATTGAATTTACCACAGGTGGACTCCAATCGAGTTGTAGAAACATCTCAAGGAAGATCAATGGAAACAATGCACTCGAGCTCAATTTCAAGTCTCATAGCAAAGGGTCGGAATAATTATGTAAATAAGGTATCTGTTTTTATTTTTTAATACATTTGCTAAAATTTCTAAAAACCTGTTTTTATTTTGTCATTATGGGATATTGTGTGTAGATTGCTGAGGGAAAAAATAGTTTATTCAATTTTAGAATAAGGCTGTAAGGTAACAAAATGTGGAAAAAGTCAAGAGGTCTGAATAATTTCCGAATGCACTGCATATTTTGAGAGTTGGGCCAACTTTTATAATTTGAATGTTGTTCTAATTCTAGACATTCAGTTACATCGCATAATTTAAATAATACCCATGTAACGTTAAAGCTGGAATCTTTAATGGTGAAACGGCCACGTCCGTTTGCGATTTTACAACAACAAAGAAGTTACTGCAAACAACGAACACTGTTTTTCACCTAGTTCAGGAAAACATTACACACATGCAAACGTGAGACTATGGACGTTATATTGTCTACGATGAAGTAATTTTCAGGTAGGGAGAAATGAGAGTGCTTCTAAAACAGTTTGCCTTGTTGAAACAGATAAGATTTGAAGAATGTGTGTCTTATCTTTGTCTCCTGGGAAACTTTTCTTTCGAAGACAACCTGACTAGGCTGTAGCCGTAGCACTATAGGCCTTACCCAGGTTCCTCATTCATAAAAAACACATTGAGTAAGAGACTAAGTTAAATAGAGAGAGAATAGGTTGGGTGCAGCTTGAGCATGATATTTCAGTCTCATTTTACATAAGGTGTATTTTACTGTTATTGCCAGGGAGGGTTATATTTTCACAGGACACCCCTTTAGTGTTTTGATTTGATTAAATTCACTGTTGCAATCCACACAGTCCTTCTGTTACTCGTTTAAGGGCCTAGCTAAGTGAGTTATCTAAGTTCCAGCAGGTCTCTTAGTTTAAAGCCAAACTTATGAGTTTGCATTGCAGCGGGGCTTAGTATTGCACTGGCTGTAAAGCCACTTAATGGAAAACACATAAGGCATTTGCAATCTTCTTCCCTCTTCTCTATAAAGGCTATGCTTATCAATGCAATAAACGAATTTCCTGTATGTCATGGAGGTGACTAAAATGCCTATAGAAGAATGCTTTATACGTTTTGTTTTGGTTGTTCATTTCATTAGAATACTCAGTTTACTCCACACATCTCCTGCGCCATCATCTACTACTTAAACTCACCTGCTGCCTCTTGTGTCGTATTGCCTCATATTCTTGATAAAGTGGACCTTCTTGGCCACCCTTGCAGGTCCTGGAGAGCCCGAATGATTCCGTGATCTAAGACAAAATGGAGAACACATAAAAATAATTGTCAATTAAACGTCAATATTAGTCATGTCTAATGTCTGGACCAACAGGTAGCAGCAGTACCATATCATTTGTCAGTGAGTTTTAGAATATGGAGGTAGACAAATATAGAGGTAGAATGAACCATTTTCTTGAAATAATAAACGAAGGAAGGCCTTGTATATTCCTTTAAATCACATATCTGAATAATAATGCCAAAATCACAATATTGTGTGAGAGGGAGTTGAAGTAATATGTCTGTTTTTCTAAACATGATCAGAGAGAATGACGGAGAGGTAAGATGCAGAGCAAGACCGATGTGGTGGCGGGAGGCGAGGGTGAGATGATAACACAGGAGGGTCTGACAACACTAAATGTAATGTTTACACAAAGCACAGCATTAAAGAGAATGTTAAAATAAACAAACCAATATCAACAAAATATGTAAGAACTATCAGATAATTGTATGAAACTTTAGTTTAATTCAGTGATGAGTTGTGCAACACTTGTAGCTGAGGAATGGTTAGCAGCTTTTAGCACCGCTAGTATCTTACACACTAGCATTGCTAATAATTAGCTTGTAAAAAAAACGAAAGAGTCCGTCAGAAGCGATAAGTTAAATAAAATTATATTTAAACTTACTGCCCTGCCGATTGTCCATATGGTTGGTCCTTATGCAGGGCGGGAATTGAGAAAAAAAACATCCAATAGAACATAAATTAAACAGACTTTTCAAACATGGGTCTATTTAATACCAACTTCCTCTCTGCTAACCTCATGTCAAAATAAAAGTCCTGCACGTGCGCCATACCTGCACAAAAAAAGCAAGAACTTGTGGGGGACACGAGGTAAGGAGAGGAACTGACCTTGATGAGGAACTGCATGGGCTACAACAGACCCACGTTCTGAAATTCTGTTTCATTCTAAGTTCCATTATGTTTTTTTTGTTGTTGATTTTTCCCTGCATAAGGAGCAAGCATACAGACAATGGACAGAGCAATTTAAAATAGTGTTTTATTTAACTTCTGGCTTCCGGCTGACTATTCCGTTTTTTGCACGCTTATTTCCAGCAACCCTAGTGTTTAAATACTAGCGTTAAAAGCAACGCCCAACTGTTCTCTTTTATCAAGGCAGAGTTTAGTTTTGATAACTGGTCGCCGATTTGCTAGTAACAACATTGAGTCACCATCAGTCAAACCTTGTAAAAAGTTCAATTCTGAAAACGCTTACCTGTAGGCCTACAGTACTTATGTTTGTCCTGTACAACCGCGGTCCTTCCGCGTAGTACTGAAATTCATTTTTTTCTTTTATAAAAATGTATCGAATAAAACCGACTTTCTCTCATTTGTGTTGCTCACGTAGCGTCCTTGATGTAAACCGAGATTCAATTTGCACATGAGCATTCGCGCTGAGTTGAGCAACAAATTAGGAAAGGGTTGGTGGTTGTATTCGATAAGTGTTTATTAAAAGTGTGAATTCCGGATCCCGCGGAAGGAACGCGGTTGTACATGACAAACTTTGGGACAGGTAAGCGTTTTCAGAATTGACATTTTTCGACTGATGTATGACTTGTTGCTAGTAAATCGCGCGACCAATTTCCACCCTGCATAAGGACCAACCCTATTTTATTTAACTTCTCGCTTCTGACGGGCTATTTCGTTTTTTTTTTACAAGCTCATTCCTAGCAATGCTAGTGTAACATACTAGCGTTGCTAAAAGCAGCTAAGCGTTTCTCAGCTACAAGTGCTGCACAACTTCTTGAACCAAAACTCAACTCTGCCTTGATACTGGAGTACAGAGTTGAGCGTTCCTCAGCTACACTTGTAGCTGCCAATGGTTTTTAAAGGACTGACAGGCAGATAAGATTTTCTCAATGGGGCAGCTGACAATTAAGACGTTTTCTAATGATTGCTTTGGGAAATAGATTTTCTAAATAACAACTACAATTTCGAAGTAAGGTCTAGTCTGTGGCCATTTGAGTTATCGTAGATTTCTATAATGAAATGAAATGAAATATGCGGAAGTAAATAGACCACCTTTATAAATCAGGCCTATTCTGTCAAACGTTGAAATAGACAATGTTGTTACAATGATTACAAAAGCAGGGTGAATAACACCTAGTCGTGACTGATGGTTATTATGACAGATTAATCGCTTATTGATTACCACCCTATAACAAAAATGTAGTAGCTAGATAATATTTCCCACCTTTGATATGTATCCCCCGGCACGGAATTCTGAGTCTGGAGCACAAATGATGATTTGGCACTTGGATTGAATGTCTGAGGTCCAGAGGTGGGGGACAGAGGGGTATCTGGGGGTACCATGGGGTCTACACCCTCAAAAAACACCTCACTACACCCAACAGCAGTACTTGAGCCCGTGTATGTAGACATGCCCAAATTAGGAGGGACTGGACTCAGTCCCCCAATCCCCGCCACAGTAGTAGCAGCGCCACCGGCCAAGGAGGGTGCCACAAGGGAGACGGTTCCGTAGATATTCGGTGAGAAAAGAGGGTGTCCAGTCGCCTGTGCCCCGGTGGCGTCTCGACTTCGGAGCTCGGCGGCCTCCCTTTGACCGTGGTTTCCATTACTGAGATGATACAAAGGCCTTCCGTCTAAAGATATGTTGTTGAGGAACAAAAGAGCCGCCTGTCTCCGTCGTGAATCCTTACCTTTTCTCAGGTGTTCTTTGTGTGATTTGGCAGTATTACTTCCTGTTGTACATTGACGACCAAAGGCAGCAGTCGCCATTCTAGTATAATGGAACGATTGTGCGGAATGAGGAATGAATTTAGCCGGCGAGAGGACCTCTCCACGCCCACCATAAACTGATTGGTTCAAACGTATCATTATTGAAATGAGTACGATTTAGTCTTAGCGGATTGGCTGTGAGTTGATGGCGAAGCATTGTAACAACTGATAGGTACATTGTTCGATTTCGTTTTGCATGGCCCGGAGCCCCGGGTGAGCGGAGTTCGCATATTTAAGACCATTCCATTGGACCTTAAGTGAAATAGCCATTCACCCGCGGCACCGGGCCATGCAAAACGAACTCCACCAATGTAACAACAGATAATAACAATAATAGTACATTGTAACAACGGATAGATGCATAGTAGTCAATGTATTGTAATACATTCGGCCCTATGCATTTAATCAGCAAAACTTTGGACATCTTTGGAAATCTTATCCAATAGATTTTTCTATCAATTATGGGTTCGATTCCCACGGGGGGTATAAAAAGAATAATACAATAAATAAATAATGTATGCACTCACTAACTGTAAGTCGCTCTGGATAAGAGCGTCTGCTAAAATGACTAATTTTTTTTTTACTAATTTCAGCCTAATCACCAATTTATAGTATAGGGATCTGTTTCATAATAGCCTACTATACTTAGGTTGGTGATGATTCATATTGAATTACATTGTGCTGCAGATTTTCAATATTGTGCCCCTACACTCCCCTCCGTATTTATTTGGACAGCGAAGCTAACATTTGTACATTTGTCCCTATACTCCAGTATTTTGTCCCTATACTGTGGTCCTCTGTAGCTCAGCTGGTAGAGCACGGCGCTTGTAACGCCAAGGTAGTGGGGTCGAACCCCGGGACCACCCATATACAAAAAAAAAATGTATGCACGCATGACTGTAAGTCGCTTTGGATAAAAGCGTCTGCTAAATGGCATATTATTATTATTTTGGATTTGAGATCAAATGTTTCATATATATCTGTTTTACCGTTTAGAAATCACTTTATGTATCTAGTCCCCCCATTTTGAATAAGTTTTATTTGGAAAAATTAACTTCTAGTGTATTAAAGTAGTCAAAAGTTTAGTATTTGGTCCCAAATTCTTAGCACGCAATGACTACATCAAGCTTGTGACTCTACAAGCTCTTGTTGGATGCATTTGCAGTTTGTTTTGGTTGTGTTTCGGATAATGTCTTGCCCAGTAGGAACTGAATGGTAAATAATGTATTGTGTAATTTTGGAGTCACTTTTATTTTAAATAAGAATAGAAGATGTTTCTGAACACTTCTACATTAATGTGGATGCTACCATGATTATGGATATTCATGAATTAATCCTGAATAATGATGAGTGAGAAATGCTAACCTCCCCTGTTATTGGTAATGGTGAGAGGTTAGCGTTTTGGTGGGGGTACTAGATACATAAAGTGCTTTCATTTCTAAACAGTAAAACAGATATGTATGAAAATACCCTCAAATAAAAGGTGACATTCTGTACTGTCGCTTCATATGAAACCTGTTATCTCAAATACAAAATGCTGGATTATAGAGCCAAATGTACATGTATTTTTGCTTCACTGTCCAAATTAATACAGATGGGAGTGTAAATGATATGGGAGTGGCTGGGAAGTGAACCACTTTCTGTTGAAAATTATGATGGTAAACATTTAAATAATTTTGTGGAGAAAGCCCCACCTGACCCAATGACCTCTGCCTGGGCTCAGGTGCCAGCAGCCAGCGGGGTAGTGTTTCATAATCCACTGATCTACTTCTACATGAGACAGGATTTAGCTGCTTACCACTGGGCAATCTAATCAGAATAATCTGTCACTTTAGTAGAATAATTAGATCTGTCTGTCTCTCCCTCTCTCTCCCCCTCGCTGTCCCTCTATCTGATTGTCTGCTTCACATTTAAACCATTCTACTGTATTTGGATAACTGTATTTACCTGACCTGAAATCTGGATTTCCAGTTCCCACATTTTTATTTTGGATAATTAGCTATATTTTGGATAACTGTGGTTGCATTTGGTTTCTGAAAATCACACACTGAAAGAATGAATTGGTCATGGAGAAGGTAAACACATTGCTCTTTATTTCCCAATAACAACATAATGAAAAACGTTGTTCTTTTTTTCTGCAAGCAACAGTCTGGCATGACCAGTTTAAGGCTTTCATTCTGGTATGTGTATTTGAGGTACAGCCCAGCCAGACCAGTATGGTTTGATGGATGAATCCAGACCAGAACACTGTATAAGGTAAGCTGTGGTATTATACACAGACTCAACAGTTAGCACCAACATGGAGCCGTGGCTTCATAGTTCTGTGGCTGTGTTGATGGTTCTGTGTGGAGATATTGTATTCATCGCAGTGCTAGCAGGATAATTGAGTTAACTAGACAGCATTTAAGAACTAAAGCTTCATCATCTTTCTACAACACAATATCATATGAACCTCAATGTACAACATACACATACAAATGTGCACGAACACGCGCACGCACACACCTCCTATACAAATGCTCCCAGTTTCAACCTTGTTTCCACTTCTCAGCCACATAATGTTTCTGTCTTGTTCTTCTGGATTTCAAGTTGATACACTCAATTTTTAGTGTTAGACAGATAGAACATTTCTTTATGGAGCAATGACCACCTAGTTACACACGAAGCACATACTGTATCATTATCATGAAGATTGAAAGATATCTAAACTATTTTCTACAGGGCATCCAGAGTCCAGACAAGTTAGACATAGTACAGCAATCCATGGTACTGCAATCCTGCACATTCTGTATCCAGCCTTATGTTTATTGTCATAGTGTATTGAACATTCATCTCAATACATTTTTTCAATTTCTCTCTCTTTAGAAATTGTCCTATGGATTTTAGACCACTTATTAAGGCTTTGTGATTACTTAAACATGCATAAATAGCTATGACAAATGACACACAGCAGTAAGATCTTCCATTGTCATCTTCAGGTCAAAATGTCCTGTTCCAGTAGCTCCATTAGATGGGTATGTATTAACCACGTGACTTATCTATTGTTATGGTGTATTATCATAATAAATTAACAGAAATATTGTCATAGGTATTCATAAATGTTTAGGTATTGTCTCTGATGGTATTTGCCTTTGCTTGAGAGGACATTATTTTGGAGCACCATTGAGGATGGTTTCCCTCTGATTGACTACTATCCAGCACCTCTTTCTGTGTCCCTCTGCACTCTCACTGATCCCTAACCTCTGACCTCTGACCCATAACCCTCCCTGTACCATCCCCCTAACCGGAGAAATGATACTGACACGACACCAAAATACAAACCTCACCTAGTCACCTACTTAGGCCACATCAGACATTGTGTCTTTCTATCCCAGACATTTGATGTGAAAACCTTTGCACACACTCCCCCTCTCCCTGCCAGTGTATTCTTGATGCTTTACAGCACAGAGGGGTGACAGAGCGGGACTAGAGCAGAACTGACCCTCAGAGAGAGTTAGTCAGCTGTGTGCCACTGTGGGGCTTTGCCGGCTGGCTGACAGCCAGTTGAGTAACAGCACTCTCTGCAGTTCACACCGTGGTCTCATACTCCATCACCTCTGTGGGTGAGCCCAGACAGCGGTACTGGATCCTTGGTGTGACCGGAGCAGCACCCTCGAGCACCAGGATGGTTTTGCGCAGCCGACGGTCGATGAAGTGGGCATCCCAGGCAGGGTACTTCTTCCTGGGCAAGTCTATACGGATGACTGGCCCCTCTGTCCTAGGGGCGAGGGGTGGGAGAGTTGGCTTGGCTCCTCTTTTAAGTGTTCGTACCAGAAACACGTCTGCATTAGCCCCTCCCATCTGCTCACGGTCTCCCCCTTTAGTCCTCTGCAGGGTCCTGGGGGGGCTGGCCACTACATCTGGAGGGAGAGAGGAAGCTGGGGAAAGGCAGGACTCCACTGTTACCTCCTCTGGTACCCCCCATCCCCACCCTGAGATAGGACCGTCAGGGTGGAGCAAGCAGTAGTAGACAAACATAAAGAAGGTGCCCAGAGCGTAGCTACTGGCCACCATGCACACCATGATCAGGGCATTGAAGTCAGAGGTATGTGGGCCACGGTACACATACCAGAATGTGGTGAGTGCCACATTCTCAATGAATACAACCACACTGTAGATGAGCATACGGCAGCGCGTGCGCCCTTCCCTCACGCTGAACCAACAGAAAACATACACTATGCCGACCATCATGTTATAGATGACCTCCTCCCATTTGGACATGCAGAAGTCTGTTTCGCCTTGAATGATCCAGAATGTCATGATGCACCAATGGGCCACGATGAAGATACCGAAGTAGAGCTGGAACATGGAGGCGAACAGGGCGAAGGCCATCGTACGGGCTCCGATAGTAAACAGGTGCCACAGGATTTGCACACTGACGGCCTTGTAGGACATAGGCTGCTTATCGTCCCGGGAGTCCCTCAGAACCTTCTGGTAGGAGGCAATTATCCAGGATAGGGACACCAGAGAGGCAGATGCTGAGAGGCCTGGAGAGAGAGAAAGAGGGAAAGAGACAGAGAGGGAGAGAGAGAGAATAATCAAGATTGAGCAGGGTAAAATGTGCTGACTGTCACGAGAACGCTGCTGAGTCTTATGTGAAGCAGAAGGCTCTATTGTAGGTTAAGGAATGCTTTAGGGCAGGGATGGGCAACTTTGATGGGGGTGGGGGCCACAAAAAAATGAACTCCTCCTTAGGGGCCGCAGTGGCTCACTGGTCTGCGTACCCACATCCATACCCACACATGCAGTCAGAGCCAGCCCTAACCTTTTGGGGGCCCTAAGCAAAATGTTTAAATTTGTCCGCTAGTTGCCCATCCCTGCTTTTGAGAACCGTATGTATGCTGGAATGTGTGTCAGCTTTTTCCCCTCTCTGTGTGTAGGGATTTTTTTGTTATATTAACAATGGTGACTAACTGCGTGGATTGAAAATCTGGCAGTTGTAAAGTCATTATATGGGGGATGTCATTAGTGAGTGATTAATAAGGTAAAGGACATATCCATTTTTTTTTTACATTTGAGTCATTTAGCAGACACTCTTATCCAGGAGCAATTAGGGTTAAGTGCCTTGCTCAAGGGAACATCAACAGATTTGTCACCTAGTCGGCTCAGGGATTCAAACCAGCGACCTTTCGGTTACTGGCCCAATGCTCTTAACCGCTAGACTGATTGTATGGGGTAGTTTGAGATGGTGATGTCACTAGTGAGTGATTTAGTTAGGTAAAGGACGTGTCAATGTGAAGGATAGGCTGTCACAGTGGATTGTATGGGGGAGTTTGAGATGGTGATGTCACTGGTAATTATTAAGGTTCAGGTCAGTATTTGTGTTCAGACCGTGACTCACCCTGCAGCGGGAGGACCTGGCTGGCCTGGACCATGATGCTTAGCTGCAGGACCAGCTGGGGGGCGCTCTTCAGGAAGGACTCCAGCAGACGCAGCATGCTGATGTCAGCGCTCTCAAACATCATGCGCCAGTAGAAGTGACGACGCTCGTGGTCCCCACGCCAGCGACTCTGCACCCCCAAGTACAGGGCATGGACATACCTGTGGAACATCAGAGGGGAAGAAGGAGGTGGGGTGATGGGGACAGAGAGGGAAAGGCATGAGTATGATATTAGAATGATGTCATAATTTGTGCGAGAGAAGAATCCCAGCTATCAAGAGACGCTCCATATCAATCTGTTTCATCCACATGCCAGCACCATCCCAAGACAGATGGCTCATTGCAGCCTCAGTCCAGCCTCATTCTAGCAACTGAACATCAAACTCTCCAGACAGCCTGGGAGCTGTCACTTCATCCAGACAGAATAACTGGTAATGGTGTGTCATCTCTTGGTAGAGTGCCACTGAGCATGAATCGGGTCTGGTCACTTCACCCTTTCCTCTCCAGGCTACAGAAGTGATCGCTTTGACAATATAAAATGATACTTTCTCATTTGACCTCTCTAAATGTAGTGAAATGCAGTGACTGTTTTTGTCATGTTATTACCTCCGACTGATTGTGTGAAAGAGAAGTGTTTCTCTGTGGTGGTGGAACAGGAACTAAATGTGTCTCGGTGATGGCTAGAGTGATGATGGGATCATGGGACAGAACAGAGCCCTACACTACAGTATCTCAATGAGCCCAGTGAACCAGGAGTTAGTATAACACTTTTTGTTCTGGTTTCCTCTGCCTAGGGATGTCATATACACACAGTACACACATGAATGCATGCTATAGTTGCCCACTGATGATGATGCTCATTCAAAGTGATCCAAAAGCATCCTTTTCTGGACTTTGCTGTCCAGAACAGCATCATTAGCCTCTCCTCGCCTCTATCCCAGTGCACCTGTCTGTCTGTGCATCAGTGACAGCTCATTCCTGAGTTAACATCTGAGGGTAAAACATGGTAATCCTCTTTAATGCACAGACATGTCAGTCCGAGAGCAGCCGCACAGAGCAGAGCACACACAACAACTTGAATGGCCTTACCGCTAATTCCACTTTGCCTCAGAGACTTTCAATAGACTCCTCAGAGTTGCCTAACTATGTAAACTACTTTCTGTCCCAGGGGAACACAGAGAGAGAGAGAGAGAGAGAGAGAGAGAGAGAGAGAGAGAGAGAGAGAGAGAGAGAGAGAGAGAGAGAGAGGATAGAGAGAGAGAATGAGAGAGAGAGAGAGAGAGAGAGAGATAGAGAGAGAGAGATAGATACGAGAGAGAGGTAGATAGTGCTATCATCCCTAGAGAGATGATGTGGGGAATAGAAAGAAACAGAGAATGAATGATTTGCCTTTGAGGTCCATATCACTGGCTGCTGTCAATATAATTAGCTTACCCCTCTTCCCACTACAGCAGCTTCCTACCAGGCAGCAGCTAGAGCCTGTCAAAACCAATCATCACAGACTATGGCTGATTCTGAAGACTACTCCGTCTGTATCTGTGACCTACAGAGCCACAATAGATCTGTGTGAAATGCAATGAGACTGAGATATATTTGTTACATTCTCCTAACATGTCTAGCCTCTTTTCCACATGAGATATGCATGGTATAGTTAGGAAATACATAGCATAGGAAAGACCCATCTCCCAGAAGACCCAGACACTTTCTCACTCAAATGATGGAAGACAAAAGGGATTTTTGTGTTCATAAGGCGATTGGTGTGGATGAGTAGACGATTTTCCCCAGAAGATTATTGACCTAGAAGCTCGTGAGGAGGGAGGAGCCTACCCTCCTTACATCAAAGTGATACTAAAATGGGCCCGATTCCGACCCGATTTAAGCATGGGTAAATGGAACTTCATTATCTTTTTATGCACTTTTCTCTCTATGGGTATTCTGACCTTGCTATTCACCTGCTATTTGTTTTGGGTGTAGATGGAATAAATGAAGGTGTGTCTACAGATACATGGTATTCTGACCTTGATTTAATTCCCTAATAATTCCACCACATTTATGTGTGAGGAAACCATGAATAAGGTCCAGAGAACCTACCAGTTCCAAGTGGAAAAAGCATCTACTTAATTGTTTCTGATAGAAATAACAGCATTCTCCATGAAATATAATTTATAAATGGATAAGAGCTATTGATAAAGAGTTAGGTAAATTAGTAATCGATTTGGAGAAAGGGATTGTAAATACACATAGCAATTGTTTTAGATTATTTTTCCTTATGATCCCTGGAGAGAAATGTGAAACCAGCCATTTGGAAGCAAACTGAAAATCATATCAACATGACATGTATTTCCACAGTGAAATAAGCTATAAATAGCTGTGCCATTATTCAGAATTTTAATTGTGTGCCCTCTTAAAACCTCTTAGGTGTAAGGTCCCTTTTTTTTTTTTTTTTTGCTTAAACAGTGCCTTGCAAAAGTATTCATCCCCCTTGGCGTTTTTCCTATTTTGTTGCATTACAACCTGTAATTTAAATGTATTTGTATTTGTATTTCATGTAATGTACATACACAAAATAGTCAAAATTGGTGAAGTGAAATGAAAAAAATAACTTATTTCAAAAAATTCTACAATATAAATAACGGAAAAGTGGTGCGTGCATATGTATTCACCCCCTTTGCTATGAAGCCCCTAAATAAGATCTGGTGCAACCAATTACCTTCAGAAGTCACATAATTAGTTAAATAAAGTCCACCTGTGTGCAATCTAAGTGTCACATGATCTGTCACATGATCTCAGTATATATACACCTGTTCTGAAAGGCCCCAGAGTCTGCAACACCACTAAGCAAGGGGCACCACCAAGCAAGCGGCACCATGAAGACCAAGGAGCTCTCCAAACAGGTCAGGGACAAAGTTGTGGAGAAGTACAGATCAGGGTTGGGTTATAAAAAAATATCTGAAACTTTGAACATCCCACGGAGCACCATTAAATCCATTATTTAAAAATGGAAAGAATATGGCACCACAACAAACCTGCCAAGAGAGGGCCGCCCACCAAAACTCACGGACCAGGCAAGGAGGGCATTAATCAGAGAGGCAACAAAGAGACCAAAGATAACCCTGAAGGAGCTGCAAAGCTCCACAGCGGAGATTGGAGTATCTGTCCATAGGACCACTTTAAGCCGTACACTCCACAGAGCTGGGCTTTACGGAAGAGTGGCCAGAAAAAAGCCATTGCTTAAAGAAAAAAATGAGCATACACGTTTGGTGTTCTCCTGAGTGGCGCAGTGGTCTAAGGCACTGCATCGCAGTGCTAACTGTGCCACTAGAGATCCTGGTTCGAATCCAGGCTCTGTCGCAGCCGGCCGCGACCGGGAGACTAATGGGCGGCGCACAATTGGCCCAGCGTCGTCCAGGGTAGGGGAGGGAATGGCCGGCAGGGATGTAGCTCAGTTGATAGAGCATGGCGTTTGCAACGCCAGGGTTGTGGGTTCGATTCCCACGGGGGGCCAGTATACAAAAATATGTATTCACTAACTGTAAGTCGCTCTGGATAAGAGCGTCTGCTAAATGACTAAAATGTAAATGTAAATGTGTTCGCCAAAAAGCATGTGGGAGACTCCCCAAACATATGGAAGAAGGTACTCTGGTCAGATGAGACTAAAATTGAGCTTTTTGGCCATCAAGGAAAACGCTATATCAGGCGCAAACCCAACACCTCTCATCACCCCGAGAACACCATCCCTACAATGAAGCATGGTGGTGGCAGCATCATGCTGTGGGACGTTTTTTCATCATCAGGGACTGGGAAACTGGTCAGAATTGAAGGAATGATGGAGGGCACTAAATACAGGGAAATTCTTGAGGGAAACCTGTTTCAGTCTTCCAGAGATTTGAGACTGGGACGGAGGGACGGACCTTCCAGCAGGACAATGACCCTAAGCATACTGCTAAAGCAACACTTGAGTGGTTTAAGGGGAAACATTGAAATGTATTGGAATGGCCTAGTCAAAGCCCAGACCTCAATCCAATTGAGAATCTGTGGTATGACTTAAAGATTGCTGTACACCAGCAGAACCCATCCAACTTGAAGGAGCTGGAGCAGTTCTGCCTTGAAGAATGGGCAAAAATCTCAGTGGCTAGATGTGCCAAGCTTATAGAGACATACCCCAAGAGACTTGCAGCTGTAATTGCTGCAAAAGGTGGCTCTACAAAGTATTGACTTTGGGGGGGGGGAATAGTTATCATTATTGCATCTTCAAAGTGGTAGGCATGTTGTGTAAATCAAATGATACAAACCCCCCCAAAATATATTTTTTAATTCCAGGTTGTAAGGCAACAAAATAGGAAAAATTCCAAGGGGGGTGAACAAGCCACTGTAAATCGATCTGTGGATACCGTAGTGGATATCGAAATGGCTTGCATTGAGTGATAGCCCTGGTTCACACGTACACAGTAGTATTTTTTCTGAGCCTGTGTGACGTAGGATGTGAAATCTGAAACCACTTGAAGCTGGGATGTCCCTCCTACCATTTCATTCGCTCTTCCAACTGTCCATCAACTCCTGGCTGAACCCTACATCACAGCCCTGACAAAGCACATGCCTGCAATCATTACATCGTAGCGCAGCAGGATAGAATGGTTTCATCATGGTACCACCTTAAGAGATCGATTTATAGCCATTAATCTGTTTGTCAAAGATGGACAATATTAATATGAGATGAAAGGCGAGTTCCTAGAGCTCTGTGATATGTTCACAGGGATGGGGGCAGACGTTTTGATCAAGAGAGACCTTTAGAAAATATGCAAATTTGATCTAACACTAAACATACAAATATGTATTTTACAGTTATAAGGAAGGTGAAATCTTATAGTTAGTCATTTTAGAATTTGATTATGCTATATTTAGAAAGCATTTAAGTCCTTTCAAGCCTTATTCATACAGTTTTGTTGAATAGGAAATACATCATATAAAATATTTCATATTTTTTAAATATTTGTACTGTGTACTTCAGCTTGTGTCCTCAAAATTGACTACAACTCAGCAATTTATAACTATTTTATAGCAGAAAGGTGCGATGTCAACCTTTCTTTGAGTATGCAGCATTACTAGTTATTGTTTATGGCCCTCTCATGATAAATAATTACTTTTGGGGATTACATAGATTACATTTTCGATTACATTTAGTTACATTTAAATGGATAATTTGCATGGATTACATTTTGACACCCAAGCGAAGTAATACCCGCATATATTTATAACTGCCACTTTGGTGTTAGTTTTCTTCAATGTGTAGCTTACATTTTGCATCATTCCATTCCATTTACCTTTCTTTCCTCTGTCACATCCGTTTAAACAGTTCCTGAGGGTCGCTAGCATTAGTGGATCATATTAGGCCAATGTTGTGCAATAATTTGGGACATGTAGTGGCGTGTATTCATGGATGCCAAGGGAAGCCAGGCTTCCCTCTGTATGTGTACAGAGACACAACTTTGGTCCCGCCCGTTTCACATTTCTCGCCCATGCTTGCATCGCCCAATGGTCCCCCGCCCATTTCGCATCCTTCATTGAAAATGAATGGGCTTCCACTGACCACGTTTACATGTGCACAGTATTCTAGATAGTTGCTCATATCCCGCTTAAGGTCTTATTCGGGATAAGCTGTTTACCTTTGATATCCCACTCAGGAGTATCCCTGTATCAATGAATAAACTGAATATTCCTCATTTAAGTTAATATGGGTTAAATGGAATAGTAACTGAAATATGGACACTAACTGTAGGCCTATAACCTCTCACATATAGCATAATATAATATTAACTCCTGCAGAATTATGCATTTCTTGCAGTCAAATGATACAACAAATGTTAATTTTGTCTTGGGAACAGGAGTGGAGAAATATTATTTCTTTCTTTCAGCATCTCTTGAGAAAATGCAAAAACAAGTGTAATGTGTTATATTTGACACTGTTATGCAAGCAGACATTATTTCAACCACATAAATATGCACCCAAGACAAACTGAAGTCTTATCAGGGAACATGTTTCATCGTTTTCAGAGCTTTTTCATTTCCTTACAACCACTCAAACTGATGACATTTTGCACAGGACCAATCCTTCCACTGTTTTGGAGTTAGTGCGTTTTCTCCCAGGTCCCTAAACGAAACGGACAACTTTACTGGTGTTAATTACATTACTAATGTATTAATTATATTAATGTAAGACATTATCCTGGTGAGCACTACTTTATTTAGTCTTCTGGGGCAAGATGTTATGACAGAAGAGAAGCTGCATGTATCTAACTATAGTTGACAAACAAATGGCCTACCAAATGTGGGAAATGATAAGCAGAAAGTTGTCTAAATGAGGGGTGAAAGTAGCCAGTATGCTATATGGTCCAGTACGGAGTATCAGCTAAATACATTATTCTGGAATTATGGTGGATGCAACTGTGCAGGTAGCCTACTTTTTGAAGTGATTTGTTTGACAATCAGATGGAAACATCACACAACACCAATGATATGCAAAACAGAGCCTGTGCAGACCGCAAAGAAAACCAGTAAAGGGGATAAGACGTTTACAGTCGTGGTCAAAGGTTTTGAAAATGACACAAGTATTGGTCTTCACAAAGTTCGCTGCTTCAGTGTTATGATATATTTTTGTCAGATGTTACTATGGTATACTGAAGTATAATTACAAGCATTCCATAAGTGTCAAAGGCTTTTATTGACAATTACATTAAGTTTATGCAAAGAGTCAATATTTGCAGTGTTGACCCTTTTTTTTCAAGACCTCTGCAATCCGCCCTGGCATGCTGTCAGTTAACTTCTGGGCCACATCCTGACTGATGGCAGCCCATTCTTGCATAATCAATGCTTGGAGTTTGTCAGTTCTCAATGGGATTAAGGTCTGGGGAGTTTCCTGGCCATGGACCCAACATTTCGATGTTTTGTTCCCCGAGCTACTTAGTTATCACTTTTGCCTTATGGCAAGGTGCTCCATCATGCTGGAAAAGGCATTGGTCGTCACCAAACTGTTCTTGGATGGTGGAGAGAAGTTGCTCTCGGAGGATGTGTTGGTACCATTCTTTATTCATGGCTGTGTTCTTAGGCAAAATTGTGAGTGAGCCCACTCCCTTGGCTGAGAAGCAACCCCACACATGAATGGTCTCAGTATGCTTTACTGTTGGCATGACACAGGACTGATGGTAGCGCTCACCTTGTCTTCTCCGGACAAGGTGTTTTCCGGATGCCCAAACAATCGGAAAAGGGGATTCATCAGAGAAAATGACTTTACCCCAGTCCTCAGCAGTTCAATCCCTGTACCTTTTGCAGAATATCAGTCTGTCCCTGATGTTTTTCCTGGAGAGAAGGCTTCTTTGCTGCCCTTCTTGACACCAGGCCATCCTCCAAAAGTCTTCGCCTCACTGTGCGTGCAGATGCACTCGCACCTGCCTGCTGCCATTCCTGAGCAAGCTCTGCACTGGTGGTGCCCCGATACCACAGCTGAATCAACTTTAGGTCTTGGCGCTTGTTGGACTTTCTTGGGCGCCCTGACGCCTTCTTCACAACAATTGAACCTCTCTCCTTGAAGTTCTTGATGATCCGATAAATGGTTGATTTAGGTGCAATCTTACTAGCAGCAATATCCTTGCCTGTGAAGCCCTTTTTGTGCAAAGCAATGATGACGGCACGTGTTTCCTTGCAGGTAACCATGGTTAACAGAGGAAGAACAATGATTTCAAGAGCCACCCTCCTTTTAAAGCTTCCAGTCTGTTAATCTAACTCAATCAGCATGACAGAGTGATCTCCAGCCTTGTCCTCGTCAACACTCTCACCTGTGTTAACGAGAGAATCACTGACATGATGGCAGCTGGTCCTTTTGTGGCAGGGCTGAAATGCAGTGGAAATGTTTTTTTGGGATGAAGTTCATTTTCATGGCAAAGAGGGACTTTGCAATTAATTGCAATTCATCTGATCACTCTTCATGACATTCTGGAGTATATGCAAATTGCCATCATCAAAACTGAGGCAGCAGACTTTGTGAAAATTAGTATTTGTGTCATTCTCAAAACGTTTGACCACGACTGTACATGCCACAGTATCCCGTCTAAGATCAGCATATCCCAGGCATCTTATCCGGGTTTCTCATAACTGGGATACAAGCTTTTTCGGGTTATTGTAAACAGATTATTATGTTTATATGTGTCAAGTAAAAAACAAATATTTGAGTATCCCTAATATTAACGGGATATTGGTGTGCATGTAAACGTGGTCATTGTTTCATCGCCCCCAACGTGCTATGTGGATCTCTTGTGTAAATCTGAATACCAACTACTGAGAAGTGTGTAGGAAAGGTGTAAATTCCTAAGTCGGAATCGGGCCCATTGTGAATACAGTAGCCTTCTCTCTGGATGACTTTAATTTTGTAGGGAAAAGGCTTAAATTAGGAAATTCGTTTAACAATTAGGTCAAGATTGAGCTGTTATAACAAACCCAGACATAGTAGTCTAGTAGGGCTACTAGGGCTTTTAGAATGCTTTGATCACCATCTTAGCTGAATCCTGTCACACACACTCACACACACACACACACACACACACAAAACCACACACACGCTCAAGCCAGTACAGTATCCGTGTATGAGAGAGCATGAGTGATCTTACCTCCAGACCTGTGCTAGCTGAAATATATGGATGAAGCATTGAAAGAGCCACATAAAGGCTCTGCAGCAGCCCCGGGCTCTTCCCATAGTGCCCGTCGTAGGCAATGTCCCGACCTCAGCATCGCGGCCAGCGCCCCGTTGATCGCTGTCCTTGGTGGTGAAATGGCTCTCCGCGCCCGATGCTGCGACCACTGCTGCAGCGGCTGTGCTACTGTCGTTGGTATCCGAATAATCATAGGCGAACCACCTAAAACTCAGCACCTGAACCACCACAGATGGAACGATCACGAAGACCAGTGTCAATGCAAACCACCAGTAGTTCCGCCTGAGGTAGTAGTCCGCTGCCAGCCACAGGTCTGAGGCCCCGTCCGAGAAGAACACCAAAAGGGCACATAGCGTCCAACTGCAGTCGTGGAGCGAGTAGCGCTTCCTAGCAGGGTGGCCCTGAGGCGAACGTTGATCTGAACCGGGCAGGCACTCGGGCAGGATGTCATTTCGCAACGAGACGGGTGCACCATCAGATTTAGCGGCCATGTTTGTTGTAGAGAAGAGAGTGGGTAAGGGAGATGAGACAATTATGGAAGGGGGGAGGGGGTCGCGTATGTGTGTGAATGCATGCGTATGTGGGGGAGAAAGGAAGGAAGGGATAGAAGGCGAAGGGAGGTGAGAAAGCGAAAACGATATTTCATAATAAATCCTGACAAAAAAATTGATTGATTTAGCTCTAATGAAGAGTGAAATTTTAGCAAGCTAGATCATCATAAGATTAATGATTGTGCGGTTTTATTTAAGACTGCATTTGCACTGGCAGGGGGGCCATGATGAAACAGTTGGACGTTCCATCAGTGCTGAACCGAACAGTGCTGAGATGGCCGTTTTGAGAACACATAGCAGATGTTAAAATGTCAATTTATTATTATTATTATTATTATTTATTATGAAATGAATTATATGGAGGCTGTGCTTTTGCTGTGTGTGTATATATGTAGTAAATGTATGTGTTTTCTTTTTTATTTGAACCTTTCCCTTGGGAAAAATAAATACAAATTTGACTGGGATATGTATATGAATTGTAATATATTTCCTGCTAAAATAAAATATATTATATTAAGTCAATTTACAAGTACATTCAGTCCTTTGCTTCATACGAGTAATTTGCTATAAATACGCTGGTTCCTCCTCGGTGTAGTTTAGGCCTACATTATCCATGTGCCACAAAGATACTGTACTTTATAAATGTCTTAATATGATGATGTGACAGACACATAGGGCTATCAAAAAGCAGGCGCCTATGCATCCTGGGACAGTCTGTAATTATACTGACACTTACTGGTGGAAATGTGAAGCAGAGTTGTAAAAAAAGTTAATCAGTAGGCCTAAGATTATTGTATAAAAATTGCAGAGAGGATGTACGAGACAAAGCAAGACAGAACAATGAAGTTGATTAGCTTGGGCAGGCTCAGTGTGGGTATTTTTTATTAAGAGAGCATGTCCATCTCAGATTGTCATCCCTTCACCACGTTCTTTCCAGAGTTCCACAGCTTTTATCCAGTAGCTGCTCAATCCTCTTCCTCTAAAAATATACAGAAAGAACGGAATGAACGGGTGAGTGTTTTATTTTTAGCAATTTCCATGAATCACATACTCGTTATATTTTTACTCTGACAGTCACATCCACAGTACCTTGCCTGGTTCTTGCAGAAGAGTCATGTTATTATGAGGTCAGGCTTTAGCTCAGCATGTTAACGTTGTCTTGAGATATGTCTTTGCTAACCTGGAGTTTGTCAAAAGGATCCCGAACATTGAGTCCTGTCTCTTCTTGTGGCAGTAAAAGCTCCAGCCTTAGAGCCATCTGAGCAGTGGGCTGACAGGCGATCATCAGACTGATCTCTTGGGTCTTGAGAGGAATAATAAAACAAGCAGGTATTTTCACAGGCAATGTAATCAGTGGAACAGACACTGTAGCAAAGAAAACAAAAAATACAATGGGAGTGAGATATATGTTGGTGGCTTGTAAATTGAAAAAAAATTAAAGTCTATACAACTTTTATGGTCTTACCCTGATGTTCTGGTGACGCAGCCTCATAACGCGAACCCTGTTGCGCGCCTCTGCAGCCTTCAGTTGACCGATTATTGTGTCTCTCCTAGCTCTTTCTGACTGTTGCGCAGCATTCACAGTGGCCTGTCTGCCTTTACACTTAGTCAGCCTGGCACACAACCTCTGCCGCGCTGCATCCATCACACCCTGAGCCTCCTTAGGTGGTTCCTCATAAGCCAAGTAGCGGGCCTTTTGCTGTGGGCACATCTCACGAAGCTCCGCTGCTGTCGCATTTCTCCAATTCCTGCAGACGAACTTCTTGGGCTTGGCTGCTGCGTCGGTCATTTTCTAGGATAATCTTTTGGCTTTTAAATAATTTTAAGTTAATTAAAAGGAACGTATAATAATCCTGAATAATGAGCCTGAATTAGACGGAGGATGAACTGTGACAATCGGGGACAGCAGTTAGCGAATCACTAACGTTGCAAACATCGCTGTATTTCAGAAACGCGGGAAGCTGATAAATGTTAGGCTGAGGGCCGATTCCATGGAAATAGAACGAACTGTCTCATTCTAATTCTATGCCAACAATCGTTGAATGTTCCCGTGAAATAGTAGACCTAGAGATTCGTTCTGTTTACTCTCGTCACCACAGAGACGTTACCGTGACATATTGCATTTGGGAAGCATTCTGTTTTTCAACATTGTGTTGGGTTTAATTACATTGATATATCTAGTGAACAATGAATAAGCAATAATGCGCGTGACGGATAGAAGTAGTCACTACAGGTGTGATCAAGCCTTACATCAATGAATGGAAAGTGCTATGCCCTGACCTGTTATTAAGAAGAAAATCCTCTGTGACTGTCTAATTTACATAAGTTAACTTACCAGTGTGGACCCAGAACAAACACATTCTACACATTTACAAACTACTTGTTTAAAGTGTAATTACAACCATGGTGTTTTTTTGTTACTGAAGCTTAGACAGTGCATTTGGAAAGTATTCAGACCCCTTCCCTTTTTCCACATTTTGTTATGTTAAAGCCTTATTCTAAAATGGATGAAAATAATAATAATATGCCATTTAAATAAAAATAAATCCTCATCAATCTACGCACAATACCCCATAATGACAAAGTGAAACAGGTTTTTAGAAATTTTTGCAAATGTAAAAAAAGAACTATACAGAAATACCTAATTTACATAAGTATTCAGACCCTTTGCTATGAGACTTGAAATTGATCTCAGGTGCATCCTGTTTCCATTGTTCATCCTTGAGATGTTTCTACAACTTGATTGGAGTCCACCTGTGGAAAATTAAAATGATTGGACATGATTTGGAAAGGCACACACCTGTCTATATAAGGTCCCACAGTTGACAGTGCATGTCAGAGCAAAAACCTAGCCATGAGGTCGAAGGAATTGTCCATAGAGCTCCGAGACAGGATTGTGTCGAGGCACAGATCTGGGGAAGGGTACCAAAAAATGTCTGCAGCATTGAAGGTCCCCAAGAACACAGTGGCCTCCATCATTCTTAAATGGAAGAAGTGTGGAACCACCAAGACTCTTCCTAGAGCTGGCCGCCCAGCCAAACTGAGCAATCGGGGGAGAAGGGCCTTGGTCAGGGAGGTGACCAAGAACCTGATGGTCACTGACAGAGCTCCAGAGTTCCTCTGTGGAGATGGGAGAACCTTCCATAAGGACAACCATCTCTGCAGCACTCCACCAATCAGGCCTTTATGGTAGAGTGGCCAGACAAAAGCCACTCCTCAGTAAAAGGCACATGACAGCCCGCTTGGAGTTTGCCAAAAGGCACCTAAAGGACTCTCAGACCATGAGACACAAGATTCTCTGGTCTGATGAAACCAAGATTGAACTCTTTGGCCTGAATGCCAAGCGTCACGTCTGGAGGAAACCTGGCACCACCCTACAGTGAAGCATGGTGGTGGCAGCATCATGCTGCGGGGATGTTTTTCAGGTGCAGGGACTGGGAGATTAGTCAGGATCGAGGGAAAGATGAACGGAGAAAAGTACAGAGAGATCCTTGATGAAAACCTTCTCCAGAGCGCTCAGGACCTCAGACTGGGGCAAAGGTTCACCTTCCAACAGGACAACGAAGCTAAGCACACAGCCAAGACAACGCAGGAGTGGCTTCGGACAAGTCTCTGAATGTCCTTAAGTGGTCCTGCCAGAGCCCGGACTTGACCCCGTTTGAACATCTCTGGAGAGACCTGAAAATAGCTGTGCAGCAACGCTCCCCAGCCAACCTGACAGAGCTTGAGAGGATGTGCAGAGAAGAATGAGAGAAACTCCCCAAATACAGGTGTGCCAAGCTTGTAGCGTCATACCCGAGAAGACTTGAGGCTGTAATCGCTGCCAAAGGTGCTTCAACAAAATACTGAGTAAAGGGTCTGAATACTTATGTAAATGTAATATTTCCATTTTTTGCTTTGTCATTATGGGATATTGTGTGTAGATTGATGAGGAACAAAAACTATTTAATTCATTTTAGAATAAGGCTGTAACATATCAAAATGTGGAAAAAGTCAAGGGGTCTGAATACTTTCAGAATACACTGTATATCAAATAACCTGACAATGATCCACATCATATGGGTAGACAAATAATGTAAGTGTTTTATACAGCAAAACACAACTATCCTTTTTTAAAGATGCAAACCAGTAATATGAATCACTGTTGATCCATCCTGTTCTGATCTAATGAGATGGATGTAGGATTTCCTACAGCCATAGAATCGATCGGGCCGTTCCCGTATGAAGGACGGAAGCTAGGCCCATCTTGGTTCTCATCGGCGAAGCAACCAAGTAGATAGCAATTCTATACACTTTGCCAACTTTAACCCTAGAGGTTGAAATAACATTTTTAAGGTGTATAACTAATCATTATATAGGTCTGTCAGACTCTGAACCTGTTGGTGGGCCATGCCTGGCCATTAACCCCACAACTCATCAAATGCCGCACCGTTGTTATCCCACTCACGTAGACACTCCATGGCTTCCAGTGAGCCGATAAACCAGGTGCTTTATAGCAGTGAGTGAACTACCTCTGTACTTCAGGCTCTGATCAGTCCCTCACCCAACAGACATTCGTTCTCCATTGGCCTGCTGGCTCCCTTCCTCTGCGGAAGCACAGCTCCCGCTCAGCCCAGTCAAAACTGTTCGCTGCTCTGGCACCCCAATGGTGGAACAAGCTCCCTCACGACGCCAGGACAGCGGAGTCACTCACCACCTTCCGGAGACACTTGAAACCCCACCTCTTTAAGGAATACCTGGGATAGGATAAAGTATTCCTTCTAACCCCCCCCCCCCCAATTGTAAAGTGGTTATCCCACTGGCTATAGGGTGAACGCACCAATTTGTGAGTCGCTCTGGCTAAGAGCGTCTGCTAAATGACGTTAATGTGCCCTTGAGCAAGGCACTTAACCCTAATTGCTCCTGTAAGTCGCTCTGGTTAAGAGCGTCTGCTAAATGACTAAAATGTAAATGTAAATGTAATAGGGCTGTGAAACCCATTAGCCGAATGGCTTCAGACTGAGCATTTCTCACCATTTATTTACGGAGAGCAATTTTCATTTTATAACAGGTAGTGTCTATTTATTGACAGTAGTGTGTTGATTAATTATTGCTTTCTTCAG